TTTACTGCTGCTGAAATATTAATTTTTAGAGCGTTAATGAATTAAATAAACGCAGTATAAAAACCGGAATGTCCAACTGATAAGGCTGAACATTTTTTCACTTGTTATTTACAGTAAGATAAATACATTCACCAACTTTTATTAAAATAAAACCATCTAAACTGGGTGTTCGGATTTATATGTCACTTAGTATACTATAACATTATTGTCCAACAGATTTCAGCACAACACTGAATCGCTGAGAAAGAAAGATATAAAACGTGTGAAATTGAAAATATTAAATAACAAAGAAGAGGGTTACGTGAATTTGGTACGCAATAATGTATCATTGAAAAAATTTAGCTTATCTAAATTTTGCGGACAATTTCAAATGTCAGTGATTTCAAGATCTTGTATGACAGGTTTCAGAGACCACCCAACGAACAATCTTTTAAGATTGACTAATCTGTTTGACTTCGGATCCAGAATCCAGTCGCATACCCGATATAAGCCTAAAAATGCTACTAAGTTTTATAGATAAATTTATACCCAAATTAGTATGATATTTGACGATTTCTTATAACTGAGTTTTTATTTATTGTGCTGTTTTTGTTTTGCATGTTAGTTGTGACATTTAGAAAAGTCAGTACTAATCCACCGATTCGTCAAGCTAGGCTAGGGCCTGTGAATTCTAGGAAAAGGAAAAAGCCTGGTGCTGGTAAGAATATTTTCGATCCATCCAAGTGACATTAGAAGTGATACACGTAGAAAAAATAGTTTCTTCAACTTTTTTGGCATGCATCAAGAATGAAACGATAACATACTCACGGAATTTTATTGAAAAGGCGGCGGCCAATTTCGCGATAAGACAAACCAACATCTCGATAGGCATTAATTGACATTGTTGTCACAACATACTATAAATAAATACAGTCATTATGCTTCCAAAAAAAAAACAAGTTGAAGAAGCTGTTTTTTCTAGGTGTAACACTCCTAATATCACTGAGTATATATCATTATTTTTGTAATTTTTGTATTATGTATCGTCTATTATTGTTTTCCGTCCCTTAGAATATTTTTATTTTGCTTGAATAAAATTCGTTGCTAGATCAATATTCATATATTTGTTATGCCCTGTAAATTTGCATTTTATTTGACAGTATCCGATATAAATAATGGGAATATATTACCATATTAAAGTGTTATAGTGTTAATGCTACAACGAGGGTAACTACGAGCTGTAATAATCAAGCAATTACGTTTTCCATTATTACGCAATAAAATTTTCCGTCGAGCCTTAAAAGGGCTCGTACAAATGAATTAATAAAAAATGAAATGATCTCAGGTAGAGACAAATGTTTGTCTATCTTATCTACCCTCGTATTACCCAAAACACTGTATATCAAAATCACAACGTAGAAAAATTTAGCGGACCCGAACGTCAACCCTACGATCCCTTGTCATATCCCTGTTGTAACCTTTTTGATGTACCCTGTTGCAGCACCGCCCCTGTCTTCTATCGAAGATAAGGGCAGGCTGGGTTCGGCGGCCCCCCTCACGTCCGCCGCCACTGCAGACCCCTCGTCGGCGCCCCCTGTCCACCCCTCGGACCCCGACAAGGGCTTCTACGAAAACCTACCTTTCCACGGCATGCAGAACCCTCCGAACAAAGTAAGAACCCTCGTACTTTTCGTTTCGTTTTTGTAACCAGTGTGTTGGATTTTTTGTGTAGCATCAACCCTGCTTATTGTGATTTTTTATCTGCTTGTGCGTTTTTTATGTATTTGCGTGAAGAAGATAGTAGATAAAGGTAGGGTTCAAACCTTACGGAAATCCCCGGTTCAAAATTTTTGTGTCAAAGGTTGTACCACTCCTTTGCAGAAGTGTTGAGTTCTAAAATTAATACAACCTTTGTGTTTAGCTTTAGGAGGAAAACTTTCAATTTATTGACCCTTTTGTTGAAATAATACACGATAAAAACTATTAGACTTGGCTCTCCACCTTTCATAATAAACATCGGGCTCCGTTCCTGCAGAATCTAATGAAGCAGCTATGCTTGTTGCTTGGTTTTCGAAATTTCGAAGGCATTTCACGTTCAGCTTTAGCGGTTTCAGCGGGAATTTGATAAGAATGCACTTGTAAAACCTTTGACATCGGCATATCAGAATTTGAGTTTCTAATTTCCACCGTAGCGTCCACAGGATAATTAAAATTTTGCTGGCTTCGTTTCGCCAGCAAAGAAGGTATTTCCATAATAGATAACCTGGCTGATATCTATCTCTATCCGAATTTGAAATGCCATAAGTTTAAATTTAATGATAATGATAAAATTCATGTTTTTAGTGCAATTATTCTAATCGTTAAGGTCCAGGGAGTTGCAATAGCTTTTTTTTGCTTATATCGAAGGATAAGATAGTCCAGAAAATATCTTCGTGACTATTTGAAAAATTATAGTTATTCTGTTTTTACATAATCTTATTCAAAATGGAACGCTTTTAACAAATCTGTATGCTGACAAACTCAAAATTGATAAAAAGTTGTTCAAGCACTTTCTTAACAAATTCCAAAATTTGTTTTCCTTTCTTGACCCGGGTAAAGTTATATTTTTTGGGGTTATTCTACTAGCTTTACGTTAAAGTTGATAAATCCCGAGGCATGACCTTTTTAAATTCAGCAGTGCGATGTTCGTACTGAAGCTGGATAAATAGCTTTTTTTTTAAATATTTCGAACAATATTTGATGAATAACAGTGAAAATTGGTATACAAGGGTTTTTTGGTACGACAAAACGAACCATGGGCATAGTTTTACTGTAGCCGCGAGAGGGCGCTATCTACTGTACCTGTAGTGTATTAAAATGACCGACAAAATTTTCTTAGTGCAATTTTTTGCTTTTTGAAGAAAAAACTCATTCTTCGCACTTTTCTGCATAAAAAAGCTCTTCTGTGAGTTTTCGTTATAGTTAGCCGTTTTTGAGATATTTTGATTTTTAAGGTTCGATGCATTTTTAATTATTTATGGGAAAACAATATTTTTTTTACATTTTCGATTTGGGCATTACAAGTAATTAAGATGATCGTTTAGATTGTGTTTTTAAACACAGCAATAATTCCTAACTCCAAATAAACACAAAAAACAGAATATTAATTTGTTTAATTTTCCAATATTATTTTTAACGATTTATTAATTATTTACAACTAAAATGCTATTGGATAGTTAGGACAAACATACAAAATCTAAAGTAGTTGCTCGAAATGTAAACCCAATTGTTCAATACACAATTCACATCTACGAATGATCGAACGTGGTATAGCATTATTCAAATAAGGCCTTATTTCTTGTCGTTACGGGAGTCTGGTACACTTTTTCTTTTAGAAATCCCCACACAAAAAAATCTAATGGATTTAGGTCAGGGGATCGTGGAGGCCAGGCGACTGGTCCTCCACGGTCGATCCATCTTTCTGGATAATTTTCGTCCAGCCAGTTTCTAACTATTCTCGAATAATGAGCTGGACAACCATCAAGCTGGAACCAGGCCAATCTTCTTAAATCTAACATAACATCATCCCACATGTTTGCATGTTCAGCCTTTAAAAATTCCAAGAAGGTCGCAGCATTTAACCTTGCAGGCAAAAGGTAGGGTCCAAATAGTCGATTACGGTAGATACCAATCCACACGTTCACACTAAATTCATGCTGAAAATTTCTTTCCCGAACTGCATGCGGATTTTCATGCGACCAAATATGTTGATTATGAAAATTTACCACTCCACGTCCAGTGAAGCATGACTCATCGGTCCATAAAACGTTACTTAAAAACTCCCTATTATTATCAGTCCTATCAAGAATCCACTGACAAAATGTGATTCTTCGTTCTCCGTCACCTGACTGTAGTCCTTGCACAGGTTGCAAATGGTAAGGTCGTCTATGGTCATTTCTAAGAACACGGTGAACATGGCTTGCTGAAATTCTCAATGCACCAGAAACTCTCCTAACACTTGTGGTCGGATCTCTATCAAACTCACGCAGAATCACACGGGTAAATCTGCGCTGACGAACATTTATGTTTTGATCCCTTTGGAGATTTCCAAAACCATTTTCAATTATTTGGCGATGCACTCTTACAAATACCGAGCGAGTTGGATGTCGTCTGTTTGGAAGTCTTGGTGCGTTTTCTATGGCTGCTTCTGCTACGTTTCCATTTACAAAGCCATACACAAAATGAATATCCGCTAACTCTTGATTGGAGAATAAAAATGGCATTTTTATAAAACTTACAAAAAAAACAGGTAAAAGAAACTAAATTTCGTGCATTCACAATTGCAAAAAAACGTTTTAGGTTTCAACAGACAACAAAACTAACTGTCAACTAATTGAGGTTTAACCTTATTCTGCTTTCAATTTCAAAAATATTTGCAGGCACAGCCTACTTCTAAAAATTATCGAGATACTGACTTTTTAACGTTATTTTATCATAAATAATTAAAAATGCATCGAACCTTAAAAATCGAAATATCTCAAAAACGCCTAACTATAACGAAAATTCACAGGAGAGCTTTTTAATGTTGAAAAATGCGATGAATCAGTTTTTTTATTCAAAAAGCAAAAAATTGCACTAAGAAAAGTTTTTTAGGTTATTTTAATACACTACAGGTACAGTAGAGAGCGCCCTCTAGCGGCTACAGCAAAACTATGCCCATGGTTTGTTTTGCCGTACCAAAAAACCCTTGTATACCAATTTTCACTGTTATACATCAAATATTGTTCGAAATATTTAAAAAAAACTATTTTAGAAAGTAAATTTAAACACCCTGTATTTCGGAAGCCACGCATTTTTCGACCCATGTTTATATAGACTTTATGCATTAATTTTAAAAGTTCTATCGAATCTTAAAGTTATGCAACAATAAAATGAAACATAATAATAATATAGTATTCTTTGCTGTTTTTGTTTTTTTTTATTTTGCTAATTTTTGCATGTTTTGTTTTGCAGCCCATTTCTGTTATAGCCCCGTTTACGCAAGGAAATACCTCTCGCAGTTTCAGCTCGTCAACAAAGTCGCTAATTTCCACGCAATCTCAATCCTCCCACCTCCCTCCTTTCCCCTATCCTATGCAAAACTTCCCGAGAACCACCCTACAAAGACATCAGTCTTTCCACGGCTTCCAGAACCCTCCAAATATCTTCCACCTGTCGGGTAACCCCGCGTTCATGGGCTCTCAAAATTCAACCGGATATAATGCCTTCATACCCTCGATTTTTTCTCATTTGCCTCAAAGTTTCCACCAGCAAACCGGATCTAGGACTATCTCTGGCATCCCAGTCAACAACAATCAGGCTTATCTGCCACCAAGCTTTTATCCTCAAAACGTCAATCCGTTTTGGTTCACAAATCCGTTTTCTATCGTTCCACAAAGAGTTGTAGGCAGAAACGAAGCGCAATTTGAAATCAGGAGGAGCGCTTCGGGTATCAATAAGCCTGAATCTACCCCTGAAGAAAAGAGAAGCAAACGTTTGGCAACGATCGTTGAGAAACGCTTTGCTTCTTTGGATATCAAAAAGAAACACAAATGCTACTCACCCACTTTTTATTCCATGAGGTGTAAAAAGCACGCCAAGAAAAGGCCAATCATAGTTACACTGCCCAAAAAATGTTTCAGCGCGCTAGCGCTGTCGAAAGATGAATCTCTCAACGATTCTTGTGATAAAAAGAGCAGCTCAGAAGTCTTTGAGGATAGTCAGATCAACGACGAAAGCGGTTTACCAGTACCAGCACCTCGTTGCAGAAGATACAAAAGAACTGAGATCGTGTATGCCAATATATCTCAACAACTGAATAAATCTAATGAAAGCAATGACACTTCTGTTGATAGCAACACTGAAGCTAACAATGAAATCTCCGTAACCGAAGTCCAAATCCATGCTACCAAAGATGACGATACCAAAAGTGAAGAAACTATCAGTGACAGCAAAGAAGACAACAAAACTGAAAAACAAGATACAAAACCGGTTCTCGTTGCAGTTAGTCCAAAAACGAACCCGCTGTTGTCACCACAAGCTTTAAAAAACTCCCCTGTTCTGAAAGTCAGCCCCAACTTCATCAAACCAAAGACTGAGAGCCCAAAAGGCGCACTCTCCTTGCAGATCCAAGCGAAACTAAAAGCATCGCCGCTGCAAAGTCCCACCGATCCCAACAAAAAATTCGTTAGCGACAACGGTAATGACGAAAAGGCTGCTGAGCAATTTCCTAACGTACCGCAAATGCCAGTGCTAAGTACTGCCAATGCCTCGAATGCTAATACGAGTACTAACGATCAGGTGTGTTTTTTCTTTTTTTTTCTCAGGATATCATAACTTTTGTTAATAGAAAAATCATTCCGGGCATCTGTTTTTGATTTTCAATAAGCGCGTCTTTCCTAGAAAGTGTGTAGAGTTCTTAACTTATTCTCGAAATCCTGAATATTCTCTTTGATAAACGTAAAATATGCTTTGATGCTTTGAATGAAGAGTGCAAGCCCACAAAATTTACAATCTAACTACAAGGTGCGGCAGAGAGGATGGACGGTTTTAAAAAAAATCATAAAATAGTCAATTTTTACTAGAAAACAAATTTATTGATGGAATCAGGTTCACAAGGAAATAGCATTTGAGACAGTCAAGTGTGCAAAATCACATCAGGCATGTGGTGGCCGAAATCGTTGATGCAGTGCTGGAGGCGTTCTTGGAAGTTCTTGGGCGAGTTCCACGCGAATTTCGCCCTTCAATTCGTCCATAGTTCGGGGCTTGTTCGCGTATGCTCTAGCCTTGAGGTGTCCCCATAATAAAAAATCGCATATGGATAAATCTGGGGAACGAAGAGGCTAATGAACATCGCCAAACCTGGAAATAAGGCGTCCAGGGAAGAGAGAGCGAATAACGTCCATGGATGCTCGGGCTGTGTGGGCGGTCGCCCCATCCTGCTGGAACCACACACGTCGGATCATGTCGACGTAGCGCTCTGAGTTAATGGTAACATCACGACCATTACCGTGTCCGAAGAAGTAAGCGCCAATGATGCAAGTTTGCGATACAGCGCACCAAACAGTTACTTTTGGGCTGTGCAGCGGTCTTTCGTGTAACTGTTGCGGATTTTCATTAGCCGAATAACGACAATTGTGCTGGTTAACCATGCTGTTTAGGTGAAAGTGGGCTTCGTCACTCATAAACAAACTGAGGTTCTCATTTTGATCGATCAGTGCTTCCATCTCACGTGCGAAGTTCATTCGTTGTGCATAATCTCAGGGCTGTAACTGTTGCACAATGGCCAATTTGTAGCGGTGAAAGCGGAGATCCATATGCAAAATTCGCCTTACCGAACGATCACTAAGGCGAAGTGTAGCAGCATGTCTCCGGGCCGATCGAGTCGGACTGCGAAGAAAGACCTGTCGAACGCGTTCAACATTTTCAGGTGTTCGAACCGTTCGCGGCGCTCCTCTTGGTCTTCTGTTGATCAGTTCACCACGCCTGCGAAGTGATTCAACCCAACGAAGGATGGTGTTTCGAGAGGGAACAGCTCTATTCCGATGAATGTTGAAGTGGCGACGAAACTCACGCTGTACGACGATGACTGACTCATTATTTCGGACGAAACAATCATAGGCGAAAACGCGGTGCTCCACCATCCAAGGCTCCATAACGACAACTGGTAAAATAATGCTAGGATCTCACGAGTCAAACGGAGGCGGAGTAACCCATCCTAAAAACGTCCGTCCTCTCTGCCGCACCCTGTATATGCTTCACATTTCACAATACGACACCTCATATGCTTGAGTAATCTTTAAAGAATGTTTAGGAAATTCTTCGCAGAAGTTATGACATCCACCCACGTGTGTGCTATTGACCGACTAACAGCTAACATTCTTTTTGCAGAACGCATTTTACACGCTAAACCCACCCCACTTTAAGCAACTAACCCCCGCTGAACAGCCTCCTCAGTATTCAGCGACTATACCGCATCAGCACCACCATCAGAAGCATTCTTCTCAACTCCTGCCGAAGGCGCTCTTCCAAGAACCTCTGTCCAAGAGCAAGTCCTTCAACAACAAGTCGAAACAGAAGAAGCACCACTTTCAGATCCCTCTCCAGAAATGCAACAGCTTCAAGTTCCAGACTGCCGAGAGCTACTTCCAACCGATCAAAAACCTCCACGAGGAGAACCTGATGAGGAACGGGTATGCCAGTGACTATCAAGAAGACACTCATCGGAGGCAAAAAAGAGAAAAGCACAAGAAGGCCAAAGGGCCGTTGGTACTCAGAAGACCTGGGCCCGGAGGTCACCAGGAGAGCGTTCACTTCCAAGTGAACATGCAGAATTCTATACAGCTACAATACCCTCAGCCTGTCTTAGGACCGCACCAGAGGGCGAACGGTGTTGTATATGCTGATTTAGATATGCCTTCTTCAGGGTCAGGATCCAAACAAGGATCGTATGACAGCAACTCGTTGAAGAACGGCAAAAAGAAGAGCAAGACTGAATACGCCACGTTGAAGTTCGATGATGTGGGGCAGGAGATCGATGTTTAACAATGTAGTAGCTCTCGGACTAGGTTTAAGTAATACTAAGGTCAGTTCAAGGTCTGGCGTACAATTTTTATGATAATATTGACGGAAAGTTGAGTATCTTCCAAAGAGACTATTTGCTATCAATAAGTATAGGATTGGATCTTTAAGGTTTTCAATGGAACGCGTTTAAAATACTTTATACCGGATGTCTCAAATTTGACTCTCAGTGGCGAAGCGTCCATGTAACCATGTTACCATTGGTAACAGTTAAAATCTTAAAAACAAATACAGGGTTTGTCCGAAAAGTAATAGGAAAAATTTATTGAGCCAATCGTTACAATTGTTTAAAAACTTTCAAAATAGGCTCCTTCTGCGTCGATGCAGCGCTGCCAGCGCGATTTCCAAGCATTGAAGGCGTCACGGTAGGCATTCTCCGGAATAGCCTTGAGAGCCGCGGTGCATGCTGCTTGGATCCCCTCTGTCGTCTCGAAATGCTTGCCTTTTCAGGTGAGAAAACAAAAAAAAGACCGGGGGGGCCACATCTGGGCTGTAGGGCGGCTGCGGAAGCGTTGGGATGCCGGCCTTGGTCAGGTAGCTGTTCACAAGAAGGGCGGTGTGAACCGGGGCGTTGTCGTGGTGAAACTTCCAGTCGTCTGCGATGTCTTGTCGGACCCGATTGACCCTTTGTTTGAGTCTCCTGAGCACTTCCACGTAAAACTTGGCATTGACGGTTTGTCCAGGAGGAACACATTCATGGTGGACGATGCCTTTGATGTCAAAAAAGACAATGAGCATCGTTTTCACTTTGGATTTGCTCATTCTTCCCTTTTTTGGGCGAGGAGACGCCGCCGTGTGCCACTCGGAAGATTGCCTCTTTGTCTCGGGATCATACTCAAGGATCCACGACTCGTCACCTGTGATTACGTGATTCAAAAATTGGGGGTCACTTTCACACATGTTCAAATTTTCTTGGCACATTTCCACTCGCCGCAATTTCTGGTCGTCAGTGGGCACTTTTGGGACCATCTTCGCGCACACCTTGCGCATGTTCAAATGTCATGAACCACAGATTTTGGTAAATTTAAAATGGTTTCACATTTCCCAGTATTTCCAAAAGTAGACGGAAGAGACCGAATTTTCTCAAAATCGTTTTCAATTTTTCCTCATTTTATTTAACGTGCGATGTCAAAATAAAACTACACCGATATTGCCTCATCTTTTATCTCTTCAAGATGGCAGTTTTGTCTACCGATGAAAGGCTTCAGAAAGAAACCTTTCTTTTTTAATCAGTCGTTTTTAGGGCCACAACTTAACAATAAAAAAGAAATTCCAGAAAAATCAGTTTAAAGAAATAAAACTTTAAGGAATATCCGTACAAAATTTTCTTTGGCCGAGATTTTAGGTTCGGGGCAAGACATTATTTATCTACCTTTTTATAAAAAAACACCAATGCATTTATTATTTTTTTTTTTTGAGAAAATCCCTCCAGCGGCCACATGTGAAACTAACAAAACCTGAAATATCATAACATTTGTAGCCCAAGAATTTTCAAAGATACAGCATAAATAGTCAGACAAAAAATATTACATTATCCTCGAATTTAAAGATCAGGTATTTTTTTGTTAGGATAGTATAGCGGAATTCACAGAAACATCAATTCTTTTCCAGGTTTTTCTCTAGTCCGTTTTAGTAAGAAGTTAGTTGGCCACCCTGTATAGTACCGCATCATTAAAAACGGTAATCACATATGCGAAGTTGCTGAACGAATGCTTGGCTGTTCATATTGTAAAACAAATAACTATCTGATAATTAATAATAATAATAATAATAATAATAATAATAATAATAATAATAATAATAATATTTATTCACTCAATGTATAAAGGTAACAAACAATATGAGTAAATAAATATAAAATCAAAGCAGGCCCACTAGAAGGCATCGCCTGTACATGGACCAATAATTTAAGTTGAAACTGTAGAATGCAAATGACAAAAAAGGACAAAAATTAGCTACAGTAGATTATGTATTTAGTTGATGTTCATATTTATGAGTTTATGAATTTCAGTCCTAGATATAGAATGTAGCCACTTTTTTAAATTTCTTTTGAAACAATTTCCGAAACGTAAATCTTTTAAGTCTTTAGGTATAATTTCATAAAATTTAGGCGCTAAATAGAGATATGATCGCTGCATTATAGATTTATGCGGTTGAGGAACTACTGTGCCACGAATTTTGTACCTGGTATAATGATTATGTTTAATTTTTTGGTCGGTGTTTACAAATTTATGGTAGTGAGTGATACTGTGTAAGAAATAAAGCTGTCTTATATCATACATTCGAACATCTGCGTATAATTTTTCAGTGGGATAAAGTTTCGGTTTTTTAAATATCATTTTTAGAATACTTTTTTGAAAAACATCTAAATTATAGATATGTGAGGAACATGCAGCTCCCCATGCTAATCGATACCATATGTGAGATGAGGCTCAATCAGTGCATGGTATAATGTTCGAAGATATTTTTCTGTCAATATATTCCCAAGGTATTTAATTTTGTAGGATACAAATCTAACTTTCTTTAAAATATAATTGACAAGGATGTCCCATCGTAAGTGAGGATCCAAGACCACTCCAAGGTATTTTATGTTGGTCACTCTATTAATTTGCATTTTTTGATCATTAATATTGAAGGAGAAATTTGTGTAATTTGGCAGATGTCTAGCATAAGATCCAAATGGTAAAAAATGTGTTTTAAAGTAGTTAATGCTTAATTTTCTACTGTTAAACCATCGAATAATTTTGATAAAATCATTTTCAATTACATTTTTCACATCAGACCAGTCAGTGCCTTCATATAATATTGCAGTATCATCTGCAAAACTAGTTATTTTGCCAACACAATTAATTTGGAAAATATCATTTAAATATATATTGAATAACAGCGGACCTAAGACAGTTCCTTGTGGGACACCACACTTAATATACATTTCTTTACTAAATGATCCTGATATCTGCACAGATTGTGGGCGATTTGACAAAGAACTTTCGATCAGTGAGTACGCGTTTCCTCTGAAACCAATTCTCTCCAATGCTTCTAATAATAATTTGTGATTAACTGTGTCGAAAGCTTTCTTTAAATCAACAAAAATGCAGATTGAAGGGATTCTGTTATCAATATTTTGATGTATTTGATTTACAATTTTAGTTATTGCGTCCGATGTAGCCTTCCCTTCTGTAAATCCATATTGCAAGGCCTATTCGATTTTTTTTTAATAACTAAGGTTTGGCAATAATAAAATTATAAAGTGTATAATATGGCGCATATAAGAAAAAATAGAGTTGATGATTCAACAATTAGAAAAATTGAAACGATTTCGAGAAAATGTATTCTTGTCATCTCATACTTTTTGCGGCTTCCTTACTGAGTTACAGGGTTCAATGCCTACCGTCGATTCACAGGCAATTAAAGGTGTCACGTGCCTTTTTTAGATTTTATTTCAACGACCTGTTTTCAGCAGTATTCTAAATCCTTTTCATCTGATAATTTCAAGGTGCATATAGAGATGACTAAATAAATGTTTTTGTCAATAAATGCGAATTTTTCTTCAATCGGAACATGTTAACAAATACAACTACCGCTCTGAAATTGCGTGTGAACATTCCTCTTTTATGGAAGAATGAAACAAGTGATTACTTCTGTACTTGTCGCTTCTCCTTTTCGAAAAATCTTTGATTTTCTTGAAGCCTCGCCTCGCAGCAAAAGGAAAGATTTTTCGAAGAGAAAGAGTGATAAGAATGAAAGTGATTACTTGTGTCATTCATCCATAAAAGTCGAATAGTTACATAGAATTTCAGGGCTGTACTAATATTTGTTAGCAAGTTACGATCGAAGAAAAAATCCACAATAAAATGCACAAAACTAAAAACGATATTTTTAGTCATCTCTATACACATCATGGGGTAATCAGATGAAAAGGATTTAGAATACTGTTGCAAACAGGAATTTAAAAAAAAAGCGAACTCAAAAGTGCACTAAATAATTGATATTGTTTCAACACTCAGCATTTCAAATGCATTATACTGAAAATCCCAAAAACCCATTCACTGGACGCGGCTTCCGAGATGTGGACTTAAGAGCACTTCAATAGTAGTGCTTTAAAATCAGCCAGCGTCAGTGTAATAACAGTTTCATCTAGAAATAGGACTTCTCTAAGAGATACAAATTGTAGGAATAAAACTGGGAAAGCCGTACGCGTACACCTGAATTTTATCAACATTTGGGTACTAGTCACTCCTTGTAACAGACGTACGAGGGGATCTGAATAGTTTCCGGCATCAACGTGAAAATGGTAGCACTCGTAAATAAAAGCTAGCGAATTTCGTTGATTATCTGTTGACAGTTACTCATCCAAGTTTCAGCCATTTCAGCGTTTTTGTGAATCAGGACATACACGCTGAAGGCAGAGCTTGCGGAAAAACGGCCACATATGCAGAAAAAGAAAATCCTGCTGAATGTTCGTACGAATTTATCAAACGTAACTTTACGGGAAATTCAATTTACATTTCGTTTTGATTATGATGATTTTGATTATTCAGCGCTTATACTAACAAGCAAATATGCACTCTTGCTTTCACTCATCGGTTTTGTTTCTCTACACGTTTCCGAATCGAATAATGCTTATACTCCAACAACTTTGATAATTAGGCGAATGGTGTTTCTTAGCTCGCAGTCAGGTAAAGGAAATAGTTATTTTTTTTAATTTGATGTTCTTGCCAAGTCTGTTACACCTCCAAAAACTAGGTTAGTCGGTAGATATGCGACCTCAGGTTGAGGTACTTTGTACCTTGGTTGCAAGCACTAGGAAAACAAATAACAAGTAACCGAGGTTGGATCTCTGGCGCTAAATGAGATACAAACTCACAAGGTACACAAACATTTATCGAACAAAACCAAATGAAAAAAATTTAAAGTCCTGGAGGAGAAGCCAAAGAAAATTATTTTGTATAACCTTTAGCTAAATGGTTTCCAATAAATATTAAATTAGGTAAAGGCCACCTAGGCAGGTGCTTGGCTATTACCGGTAGGCAACTGAGAGCAGGAAATCCCAGGTAGGTAGAACCCGAAGGTAGAACCCTCCAACAATGAGGGTTCACAAAAATGGAGAACTGCTCCTCGCGTCGAACTATCCCTGCAGCGCGATGGTTGAATGTAGTTATGTCCTTGGCTAGATTCCCAAGAGGGTGAGAAAAAGACTCCGACAAAAAAAGCAGATTTCTAATAAAAACCTCATCGCCCTATAAACCCGCAACGCTGCGTGTAAAACTATTCACAAAATCGGGTAGTGGGCCGCGGAATTCCTACACCAAAGCACTGGAAATAGCAGCAAGTCACCTTCGGCTCTCGTATTAACGGGCGACAGAAATTGTACAAAATGACCTCCAGCGAGATGGAGAGTAATTTTCTGCCACAAAATTATAACACCAGGAGAAGTATTTTATTACTAAAAATAAAATTCGATATTTTTAAGAACGGCTATGAAGTTATTATTCTGAATAAGAATAACCTTGTAATAATTTACATCATCAAAATGTAGTTAATTTTTCGTCGACCATGAGAAGAAACTGCAACAAGTCTTATCATTATGACTTTATTAATAAATGGCAACGGAAATTTTACGTGACTTCTATCGAATTAAGGCTTTAGCCCAAAGTGGTTAGTTGAATCTAATGCTCAAGAGTTTCTGCCATATAGGGCTTAGTGTTAAAAGACGTTATCTACAATTTTTATTAAATCATTGTAGTTAGATCCACGATACTCCATTTCATAGTCACGAACTTCATTTTTTTATAGTATCATGCATTGCATCTCGATGTTAATTCCTTAATCCTGGGTTAGAATTGAGAGTCAATTTTTTGACACCAAAGCAAATAGAATTAACGAAAATGCATTGCTATGGATTTCAAGGTTCAGTACTGAACTTATTCCAGTCAAAAAACTAAAATTGGCAATACATTAGCAAACGTTAAAAATATTTCGGTTAGTGTGCCACAACAAATAACAATTAGGAGAGAAAATAGTTCGTTATTTGTTGCTATTGTCAATAATTGTTTCCAGCTCCAGACGATGAAGACATAGATCTTAGAAAGCTTGAGTTTAAGTTATATGCTAATAAATCTTACAATTAGTCATGAAAAAATTGTGTCAATCGAATCATTTAAATATTTGGGCATACACGTAGACAGTAAATTAAAATGAAGGGCACTATGAATATATACCAAGTGACATATAAATCCGAATACCCAGTTTAAATAGTTTTATTTTAATAAAAGTTGGTGAATGTATTTATCTTACTGTAAATAACAAGTGAAAAGATTTTCAGCCTTATCAGTTTTACATTCCGGTTTTTATACTGCTTTTTTTTTATTCACTAACGCTCTAAAAATGAATATTTCAGCCGCAGTAAAGAATTAGCGTTGGCGGATTTTGGTTCTTGACATCCTTTACGATCGGTTACGATGCCTAGAGTACGGAGACCTGTACGATTTCGTCAACTTAGTGAGTTTGATAGGGGCCGTATTGTGGAACTTCGGGAAGCTGGACTTTCTTTTCGGGCAATTGCAGTTAGAGTGCAAAGAAGTGTAGACACTGTGGTTAGGTGTTGTCAGGCATGGCTTCGAGAAGGCCGTACGCAAAGAGCAAGGGGCACTGGACGCCGCCGTAGAACAACAGACCGTGAAGAACGCCGCCTAAGATTATTGGCCTTAAGGGACCGTTTCTCCACTACCAGGTCCATTGCAAATGAATGGGTTGCAGAACACGGAAGACCTATTGGCGTGCGAAGTGTTTACCGACGAATGAGAAGTTTTGGCTTGTTTTCATACCGGCCACACTGGGTCCTCCCTTTAACTCGAGAACACCGACGTAATCGCCTTGAGTGGTGCAGACAACGGTCACTCTGGGATCAGGAATGGAACAGTATTGTCTTTAGTGACGAGTCTCGATTTTGTTTAGGCATGCACGATGGTCGTGCCAGGGTTAGAAGGCGACGTGGTGAAAGGAGAAATCCACAGTTTTTTGTTGAAAGACATGTTCATCACACTGTTGGAGTTATGGTTTGGGGTGCTATAGCTTACGGTTCCAGGTCACCTTTAATCTTCATCAGAGGTAACATGAACGTGCAGCGTTATATCCACGAAGTTCTAGAACCCCATCTTTTACCCTATCTTGACTCCCTGGCAGATCCAACTTTCCAACAAGATAATCCCGACCATATGTTGCAAGAGTCACAATAGACTTCTTTCAACATGATGATGTCACATTGTTACCATGGCCACCAAGATCTCCCGACTTATCCCCAATTGAGCACGTGTGGGATATGATGGGTAAGAGATTGCTCAATTTGCAACGTCCTCCTCAGACTCTAGAAGCACTTCGAGAGGAGTTGGTAGTTGCCTGGAATGAGATACCACAGGAGGACATTGACCACCTGATCAGAAGCATGCCTAGGCGCGTTGGAGAATGCGTAGCACATCAGGGTGCATCCACACATTATTAAAGGTCAAATGGCTTTAAAGCAGTGCAATCATTTTGAAATTTTTATCATTTACTTTTTATGCTTCATTAAGTACTTATACAAAATTTTATTAAAATAAAACCATTTAAACTGGGTGTTCGGATTTATATGTCACTTAGTATATTATTGCAAAAATATCCAAGAAAATACATACACTTTTAGAGAATTTCGCATAGCTTAAGCGTATATTCTAAACAAATTGTGTACAACACTATCATTCTTCCTCATTTGTTATATTGTTCGATTATTTTGTTCACTGCAAATGAAGCTATGAGAATCATCTTAAATAAAAATAAATATACTAGAATAAATTTTATGCTGAAAGAACTACAATGGTTGAATATAAAAATTTTCATAGCCTACTTGGTTTTCATTTTCATATTCAAGTTAAAAAAATCTAGATTACATCTTCTGATACTAAGCCCTGGATATACATAGCATTTGCGCTTGCAAAGCTATATACTTAATATAACGCTCACTTAACGCTATATTCTAAATCATAGCCGCCAAAATTGTGACTAAATCTACAATTTTCCAAAAGATATTTTTCCAAAATTAATCTATCCTCCTATTTCTGTTTCTAGACTAACGGAACAACTACAACAGCTAGTGATACATATATTTTTTAAGGTAATGTTGAACATATCTTGACATTTTGCAATTCCGCTATGCAACCTCATGACACAAACTAGATTAGAATTGTAAATTTAGAGCACAATATTCAAAACTTCAAAATATGCTACTTACATGCTGCTTCGCATCTGCCCTAGTTAATATCTTGCTTCTGTTCACACTCGTCATTTAAACTCGCTACAATCTTGCTTATTGCTTTATTCTTATTACTATTATTATCGATATCAGAGCATTGTTACCGTCAATAGTGGACTTTGAAAGGACCTCAGCCACTAACTTGGTTCAAGTACCTGAGAGGCATGATTTAAGCAAGTATCACCACCCTGTGCAATGAGATAACTGAGGATCCTGATAATCATAAAAAATTTTAAAACACAAAGATTTTTTGGCTGAAACCAAAACGCCCTACAAGACGTATTCATTTTCGGATGTTTTTTCAGCCCTACAGACCCGATCCCTGTGATCTAGATTACGCCGACGTGGACTACAAGTCGGCCTACTATTACGGCCCTATCAACTACAAAGCCGCGTCCATTTACGCTGCCATGAAAAGAAACCAGAACAACAATCGACTGGAAGAGGTTGAAAAGGACGATCTGCTGTAGGGAACTGTCTGAAATTGTTGCATCTTTTAGGGTAATCTGTTTTTTCTCGACGACCATTTTCCATATCGTTTTCCCTGTAAGTAGCTCCAAGCAAGTGTTTTTATGTATGACTTCTTTGTTGTTTATTTGTGAATGGAAAATGATCGTCGGCATATTCTGGGGTGAAAGCAAAGTTTGCTACTGCTATAGCTGGGTCCGTGAATACACCAAACGTAAGTCGTAGTAGCATCGTCTTCGAATACCTCTTATTCAAAGCATCGCGTTCATGGGAGAAATGTCTCGACGACAAGACCAGTCAAGAGGTTCCATTGGGACAAATTTATCAATTTCCATACAATAAATAACAAAAAGTGTTCGATCCGCGTACCAGGTGACAATGAGAATTGGAAACAAGCTTAATTGTTTTGAAGATATCGCTGCAAGATTGGGATATGCTTAGTTAGCCATTAGGAGGCATTTCCCTTCCGCTTTAACCGGAAGTGACCTTGAACTTCGTTTTTCAAATGGAAACCTGCATATTTCCTTCTACATATAATCCCACTCTATACAAAATGCTCTTTCCAACGGTGAAGCTTTTATGTTCAGATTGGTCTAATAAATCTGAGATAACTTTGTCCGAATCGAATTTTCAGCCACTCGGTATGTTCTTGTCAGACGTGATTATGTAAAAAAAGTGGAGTCGGTAATTTTTTCCCACGAATGCCAGATTTTCTTCTAGTCTATGAGTAAGAAATGACGGAACCAAGCTTGCCAGGAACCAGGCTGTCAGTATCATAGTATATCACCCATTAGAATTTCACACCGTTCATTCTCAAAATGCACAAACACTTAGGCTTAATAGCAGCTATAGTTGTAGCGACGTGTAGCCTCTTTGTAAGCGAATATAGGTTATGTACATAACGTTTTTAAATGTCAGCCTTCTGTAAATGTTCGAATCCCTATGAAGGTTTTTTAAAGTTTGTATACGTATGTAAATAATATTTTATATTTATAAAATGATATATTTTAAAACATATCGATGAAATTCGCTGACGAATCTCCTTGTTAACTATGTTATAAGTTCATTAACATGAATATATACAAACTTGTTGTCAATATTTGTGGCCAATTTTATCACTATCCGTTATGTCTGAATCACGATGTAAAGCTTGTTTTATATGTCCAAAACGGACGCAGGAAGGTAAACGCATATTAAAACAAGAAAGATTGATATTCAAATGAAGTTGGGTACTTTATTTTGAAGGTTCATTTATACCATTTATGTATGAAAAATAATATCGCTCAAATGTTCACCTCGACTCGATTTGCAGACGTCCACGCGATGGTCGAAATTTTCAATGACATTTTGCAACATGGTCGGTTCTATGGCATTTATCTCGGCAATGATGTTGTTTTTGAGTTCTTGGAGGGTGCCTTGTTTGTTGACGTAGACTTTGCTTTTCAGATATCCCCATAAAAAGAAGTCCTAGGCAGTCGAATCGCACGATCTTGGTGGCCATGGCACATTTCCTGTGCGCGAAATCACGCGATCACCGAAGAAGGACTGCAATCGATGGATATTGACGTTGGTTGTGTGGCATGTTGCACCGTCTTGTTGGAAATAAACATCGTCCATATCCATTCCTTCAAGTTGCGGCAAAAAATAGTCCTCTATCATCACGTGATATCGCTCAGAATGTACGGTAACGGCGTCCCCGGCCGCATTTTCGAAAAAGTAAGGTCCGATGATGCCTTTTGACCACAATGCACATCACACAGTCACTTTTTGAGGATGCATCGGCTGCTCTTGATACTCACGGGGATTTTCGTTTGCCCAGATGCTGCAGTTTTGCTTGTTTATCGTCCCATTCAAAATGAAATGCGCTTCGTCGCTGAACATGATTTTTGATGAAAAACTGGCATCAATTTGGCGGTGTTCAAGGAGCCAATCTGAGAACGTTCGGCGCGAAAAATAGTCGGCCCGACGCAGCTCTTGCGTCAATTGGATCTTGTAGGCGTGTACATTCAAATCCTTGTGGAGAATGCGGAGCAAACTGGTTCTCGAAATGCCCAATTCTTGGGATCGACGCGTTGTTGATTGTTTCGGATCGTCTCTCACACTCTCCTTCACAACAGCAATATTTTCCGGTGTGCGAACGCTCCTCGGCCGGCCAGAGCCTGGCAGATTTGCCACAGAACCTGTTGCCTCGAATTTACGCACCAGACGACCGATGGTTCTTTCGTTTGGGCGGTTGTTGCGACCGAAATGTTCACGAAGCGCGCGAAACGTGTTTTTTATTTTTGCACCATTTTTGTAGTGCTCTTGAATACGACTCCATAGCGATCAATGGTAAGCATTCAACTAACAAAATGACATGTCGGTGACAGAAAACAAAGATGGCGTCTATGTCAAATTGAGGTTTACTTTCCTGCGTCCCTATTGGACAACCCTTTACATGATTTTTGAAACAATTGAAGCGTGCAGGGGAAAAACGTACCCTGTTATAGAAAATATTGCCTACGAAGATTTTACAATGGAATTCTTAAATTTCAAATATAAAGGTCTTCGGTCTAGAGAAAATTTTGCTGGATAACATTTTGAACAGAAAATGCCAAATTCTGAAAAATTTCCTTGTATTTCCCAAGAACTATGACATATACTAAATGGCACAGAAAATGAAAACGGAACCAACACAGAAAAATCACATAATACTAAGTAAACATGTTTATATTGTTCGGATCCTGATATGACAAAAAAAGCCTTTACAAAAAAGTACGGCTCATTTTATCAGCGTAAGCTTCGATGATAGCAAATATGTTTACAAGTTTTCATTAAAATTCTAAATGATGACCAATAATCTAAAAAAATAGAGGTAGTAAAACATAAATTTGATAATTGGCGATTTTTTAAACGAAAATTGACCGATACAGCAATTTGATCAGCAAAAGTCTCATTTTGAACGTATTTTCATGCCCTACCGATACTTCATAGTTTTTTGAATATATGGGAAAAGGCCCTTTTGAAAAACGTATTTTGAAAATGGTATCTGTTTCTTGGTCACGCTGTATGTACGGGAAAAGATGGGTTTTATATAATTAAATGTTGATTCAAATTACGGTTAGTTTAAACGAAATCCTACTGACTACTCATATAACTTCAGTAGGATTTTTCAATATGAAATCGACCACAGTGATTCATACACAAAAACATGCATTTTCTTCAATGTATTATATAAGGTTTTTTAATATAATTGCTTCGATTTTATTTTAGTATAACTTCCAAAAACAACGTACTTACACTTTTTTATAACGAACATTTTAACCAACCCCACTACCGACTATATAAAAATAGCTTCTAGACAGTAGACGTAGTTACTTATTTTTATATGTTCACCAGTGAAACTACTAATATTTCCTGCACTTACTTACGTTGTGTTGATGTAAGAAACAAACCAAACATACTAACCGTCTATCTCAACTCAGATGCTCAAAATAATCTAAAAACTAGTGATCTTTTTGCAGAAAACGAGAAAACAAGTAAATTTCTCCCTGCAATAGACCTACTGCTTACAAGGCTTCAGACAAAAGCAAAGGTCTTTGTAGGATATTTGTATGGCCCGCTTAATTTTCATAGTTTTCTGCTGTTAACTGTCAGCGCTCCATTTTGAGGTTATGTCACAAATATCTATTTGCATCAAATTGTTTATGCTTTTGATTTATTCCATCTGTTGTATAGTCTGGAATTTCCTACAATTCAAGACGAAAGCATAGTCTGACTATTGGAGAGCGCTGACGCTGATACGGAACAGGTGAAATCTACAAATACCTCAGCCTTTCTGAAGGAGAGTAAAGGAGGACATGAAGGGGTCCTGCAATTGTAGAACGCCTTTATGGCCTCCTTGATTGTCATAGTCTTTTCTGTTCTTCAGGCTGATAAAACAGATGATATAAATCAAAAGCAAGGACAATTTGATGAAAACAGACGTGTGTGACATAACCTCAAAATAACTATGAAAATCAAGAAGGCCATACAATTGTAGGTCCAACGATTTCGACAAAAATAACTATTCTAAATCCTACGTTTCATGGAAAAAGGTTGACCACTTTTCCAGAATATTACTCAAAACAACTTATATGACACCTACCCTTACGTTCGGGATTTATTTAGCTAGTAAAAACTGTGAGTTTTTCAAAACAGCCACGACCCAAAATATGTACTCACAACGTTTTCAAGTGTTATATTTAAAAAAAAATACTGAACTTTTCTGCAAAAGCATCATTTGGTTCTATGTTTGGTTTGTTCAGCCATAATAGTTGTATTGTTTTTTTATGAGTTTATCTTTGGTGCCAAAGAAGAAATTGTGACGTCCAAAGAGATTTTCGGTGTGGTGCTGCTATGAACTAATTTTCGGCTGCGCAACCGAATAAACTATTTAATAGGTTCTTATAGGTTTATAGCTATGATAAACACTTAACATCCTAATATCAACTTGTAGATATTGTATCATATTATTCATAGCGTTATGATGTTTAATAAAGAAATGATACATGACTGTGTTTTTTTTCTAACCCTAACAGAGTAATGTGAACAGGTACCCTTATTATTAAATGCCACTGTCTTATTGCACCAGGGTGCTGGCAGCCCAACGCATGAATTTAAGTAAGAGTAGTGAAATTTTCAAAAAAAAAGTGGTGAGAAAATAGATCTTATGCGTAAATAAATAATGAAACTAAAAAAACTGAACTAAAAAGTAGAAAATAATTCAATTACAAAGAGTTTATATAACAATAGTAGATGGTCGAACAATCAATCATAATTAAAATTATGATAAAATTTAAGTTATTAGCAGAATAATTCAATTGAGAGTAAAAAGCGTGGGGTATTTGATATATTAAATGTTACAATCATTCTATTGATAACTATCTATCTGATAAGAGAGTTATTAAATTGAATTATTCTTTTAATAACTTAAATCTTATACTTTTATTTTGAGGTCATTTTGAAAAATTGAATATCATACTGCTAATTTTAAAGGTTAATGTAAATAAGAATGTGTGGAAAAAAACGAGAATAACTCATATAAGATCGTCGTTTTATTGACGTAAGTTAAAATAATTATTCATATGTATACATATTTTAAAATCAAATGCACTCGATACATAAAATAAATATAAAAAATATAACAAATTCTTGCAAATGCGTGAGACCTACTTATATATACAGGGTTTGTCCTGAAAGTAATAGGACTCAGTTGATTTAAGAAAAAATTATTGAGCCAATCGTTACAATTCTTTAAAAACTGCGTCGATGCAGCGCTGCCAGCCCGATTTCCAAGCATTGAAGTCGTCACGGAAGGCATTCTCCGGAATAGCCTTGAGAGCCGCGGTGCATGCTGCTTGGATCCACTCTGTCGTCTCAAAATGCTTGCCTTTCATCGGCCTTTTCAGGCGAGGAAACAAAAAAAGTCCGGGGGGCACAATAATAATAATAATAATAATAATAATAATAATAATATTTATTCACTCAATGTGCAAAGATAACAAACAATATGAGTAAATAAATATAAAATCAAAACAGGCCCAATAGAAGGCGTCGCCTGTACATGGACCAATAATTTAAGTTGAAACTGTAGAATGCAAATGACAAAAAAGGACAAAAATTAGCTACAGTGATGAGGCTCAATCAGTGCACGGTATAATGTTCGAAGATATTTTTCTGTCAATATATTCCCAAGGTATTTAATTTTGTAGGATACAAATCTAACTTTCTTTAAAATATAATTGACATGGATGTCCCACCGTGAGTGAGGATCCAAGACCACTCCAAGGTATTTTATGTTGGGCACTCTATTAATTTGCATTTTTTGATCATTAATATTGAAGGAGAATAATTTGGCAGATGTCTAGCATAAGATCCAAATGGTAAAAAATGTGTTTTACAGTAGTTAATGCTTAATTTTCTACTGTTAAACCACCGAATAATTTTGATAAAATCATTTTCAATTACATTTTTCAGATCAGACCAGTCAGTGCCTTCATATAATATTGCAGTATCATCTGCAAAAATAGTTATTTTGCCAACACAATTAATTTGGAAAATATCATTTAAATATATATTGAATAACAGCGGACCTAAGACAGTTCCTTGTGGGACACCACACTTAATATACATTTCTTTACTAAATGATCCTGATATCTGCACAGATTGTGGGCGATTTGACAAATAACTTTCGATCAGTGAGTACGCGTTTCCTCTGAAACCAATTCTCTCCAATGCTTCTAATAATAATTTGTGATTAACTGTGTCGAAAACTTTCTTTAAATCAACAAAAATGCAGATTGAAGGGATTCTGTTATCAATATTTTGATGTATTTGATTTACAATTTTAGTTATTGCGTCCGATGTAGCCTTCCCTTCTGTAAATCCATATTGATTTTCACTTAAAATTTTGAATTTTGTGAGGTATCGAATCATTCTAGTAGATAAAACTTTTTCAAAAACCTTTGCTACACTGGATATTATTGATATTGGTCTATAGTTTTTAACATCTGTTTTTGTTCCTGATTTATGTATCGGTATTATATTACCTTTTCTTAAAATTGAGGGATATATGCCAGATTCAAAGCATTTGTTGATTAGGTAAGTGAGTGGTTCTGTTATGTCCTCGGCTGTAATTTTCAAATGCTCGCTTTTAATACCATCGAACCCAGGACTTTTACGGTTTTTTAAGGACATAACACATTGCTCGACTTTATCCAAAATAAATGAGTTCAAAGTTCTTTTTGGAGGCTGAGTATTTTGAACATTTGCTTGTATATTACTTGCTAAATTTTCGCCTATGTCAGTAAAGAATTGTACAAATTCATCGCATATCTGTTGAGTATTTTTTAATACTGTTCCCGATGTTGTATTTAACTCAGTGACACACTCTTTAAATTTTGTTTTTCCAGTAATCTCATCAATAGTTGTCCAAAGCCGCTTAGGATCATTTAAGTTATTATTCAATTTATTTAGATAATGTTTTCGTTTGGTTTGCCTTACAAGCTCTATAAATTTATTTTGATATTGGTTGTAGCAGTCGGTATTCTCTGTAGTTGGCGTTAGTTTTATTACATTATATAGTCTTTCTTTTTCTATTGCCGATGTTATTAATCCTTTGGTAATCCAGGCATTTCTGCTTTTCTCTTTGTGACTAATTATTACTTTATTGGTACTAATATCTATTAGTTTTTTTATTTTCTCTATGAACAGTCCCGTTGCTTTGTCTATATTATTTATAGAGTATAATTGTTCCCAGGATTCTTGTTTGACATTTGATATTAGTTTTGAATTGTCGACAAAAATTTGTAATTTTCCTGGTTGTTATTAACAGTAGGGATGTTAGAATGTTTTTCATTTGAAGATATCAGTAAAATAGTGGAGAAGTAGTCAGTAATATCGCTTTCTAGGATTATTGGTATACAAGTAATTTTGTTGGATAGGTCTTTCACAAAGCAGTGATCTATACATGTGCCACTGATGGACCTTGTAGGTAGGTTTATATAGGACAGAAATCCGTTACTTGATAGGATATTCAAGTATTCATTTGTGATGGGATCATCGTCCAAAATATTTATATTGACATCTCCCAAGAAAATATGTTGCTTTAAATGAACTTTATTTTGATTTTGAAAAAAAAATTCGATATTCTTTAAAAACTCGTGGGGTTCTGAACATGGCGGACGATAAATTGCAGATATCTCAATTTTGTTATGGATAATTTGGATCATGATGTTTAAAATTTTGATTCCATCGGTGAAAGTGAATGTATCATGATTATATTGCAGTTTATTTCTTACAAAAACTATCACCCCATCGTTTTGGTTATAAGTGCCAAAGTTATACAGCGTGTCATATCCCTGCTGATTGAAGCAAGAAATATCAACCACTTGCCACGTTTCAGTTAAAACTATTAGATCAAAATTGTACTATATTTGGTCGAGTAGTATTTTTAAGTAATCAATGTTGTGTTTTATACTCCTTATGTTCATATTAAAAATTCGAAATTTTGCATCAGAATTTTGTGTACATAAATTAAGTTCATCGACGTTTTGTGCTATATTTGTTGCAATACTTGGAATTTGGAAATCATTAATGTATTTATTTACTGACATTTTTAGGTCCTCTTCAGAGATAGGAGTAGTAAAAGATGAACTTGAATTTTAAAAAAGTATCCTTACGTTTTGTTGCTCCTGATAATATTTGTACGATGGACAGGTCGGTGGGTGAGTGGTTAATATTATAATTTTTTTTATATCTTTCAATTCCATATCTACAGTTGCAGCATTCTATTGATACATGCTTACAATTTACTCCTTCGTGACCGTTGCCACAGTTGGCACATATCTTCTCATTCCTGCAATTCTTTTCTGAATGATTAAAACGGTAGCATTTTCTACACTGAGAAATGTCGGAGACAACTGACCAGCCGCTCATTCGTTAGCTAGGAACTCCCTCTACCGAATCCAGTCGGTTCGCGCATGCTCCGAAGTACAGTCATGGCGGAAGAAAATGAGTCCTATTACTTTCCGGACAAACCCTGTATTAAGTATTCTTGCCCAATTCATTGAACCTACATCTTAGCAAGCTAATTTGAAACTTGATTATTATAGATGAGTTTTTATACACAATAGTTGACTAACTTAATCATCAGACCGTAAGACTAGAGTACTTATTCGATAGATTCAAATGGCCGCTTCCTGGCTTCTCCATCCGATCATCTCCATGTCATAATGTTATTGCATTGTCAATTGTCATATTGAACGTCCGCCATATTGGATTAGGATGACGTCACTTTGCTTGTTGTGTTTTCTTCAACAATGCCTTTCATTTGATATCCTTAATGTGTGGTGACTATGGAAATTATAAATCGATATTTTGCGCAGGCCGCCACATTGGATCTAGAATGACGTCACATTGCTTACTGTATCTCTCTCATCCTAAGCCCTTTCTGTCGATAACCATATCATAGGGGTAACTATAGAAATTATAAACGCCATCTTGCGGTTATTGCCATATTGATTTGAAATGACATTTTGTTTAGTGTGTTTCTCTCTCTCATCTTTCATCTGAAAATTGGCGTTTTTCCCAAAATATAACAGACAGTGCTGTGACTTTTCCGTTGTTCCACCCTGTATACTTATATATTACACAGTGACCTATATTAGTATTCCAGGAGTCAAATGTCAGTATTATGTCAGAATATTGTGTGCTTTTCACACCGTATCTATAATCTTCTAATATTTGCAGTTTGGGAATGGAAAAATTACAGGTATGTGTCTTTCTGCTCTACCATTGACTAGTATACATAAAAAGGGTTGCCCAACAAGGGCGGGATAATGTTGAAAAGGAATCAAACAAGTTCTGCCAAAAGAGCTTCAATATAAAGCAAATTGGTTATCATTGATAAATCTAGGAAAAAAAGAGGAAAAATTTGGCAAATTTTTTTTCTAGCGCTGTCTGTAAAAATTGCATGAGAGCCGTTGCTCCTAAAATGTTTCTCTTAAAAACCAGAAAACTAGAATCTTCAAGCTTCAAAATGCCTTCTTTAAAGTCTTAATACGGCCATTTTTCACCAAAATACAGCCTGCCAAAGATGACCGAAAAATTTGGATTTTTTCTTTCTCCCTTAATTTTTTGAGTATTACATATTTACGTTTTTTGACTGGATACTGGGCTGAGTCTTATTTTGTTACAATGTAGAATTATTCAAGCTGGTAGACTAACAAGAAAGCAAAAATTTTGCAAAAAAATGTTCTACGCTATCTGGAAAAATTGCATGAGAAAAAATTACAGGTATGTGTCTTTCTGCTCTACCATTGACTAGTATACATAAAAAGGGTTGCCCAACAAGGGCGGGATAATGTTGAAAAGGAATCAAACAAGTTCTGCCAAAAGAGCTTCAATATAAAGCAAATTGGTTATCATTGATAAATCTAGGAAAAAAAGAGGAAAAATTTGGCAAATTTTTTTTCTAGCGCTGTCTGTAAAAATTGCATGAGAGCCGTTGCTCCTAAAATGTTTCTCTTAAAAACCAGAAAACTAGAATCTTCAAGCTTCAAAATGCCTTCTTTAAAGTCTTAATACGGCCATTTTTCACCAAAATACAGCCTGCCAAAGATGACCGAAAAATTTGGATTTTTTCTTTCTCCCTTAATTTTTTGAGTATTACATATTTACGTTTTTTGACTGGATACTGGGCTGAGTCTTATTTTGTTACAATGTAGAATTATTCAAGCTGGTAGACTAACAAGAAAGCAAAATTTTGCAAAAAAATGTTCTACGCTATCTGGAAAAATTGCATGAGAGCCGCTGCTCCTAAAATATTTCTGTTAAAAACCAGAAAACTAAAATCTTCAAGCTTCAAAATGCCTTCTTCAAAGTCTAGATACGACCATTTTTCACCAAAATACAGGGTGTTTCAGTTTATTGTTGCATAACTTTAAGATTCGATATAACTTTTAAAATTAATGCATAAAGTCTATATAAACATGGGTCGAAAAATGCGTGGCTTACGAAATACAGGGTGTTTAAATTTACTTTCTAAAATAGTTTTTTCTAAATATTTCGAACAATATTTGATGTATAACAGTGAAAATTAGTATACAAGGGTTTTTTTGGTACGACAAAACGAACCATGGGCATAGTTTTACTGTAGCCGCTAGAGGGCGCTCTCTACTGTACCTGTAGTGTATTAAAATGACCGAAAATTTTTTCTTAGTGCAATTTTTTGCTTTTTGAATAAAAAAACTGATTTTTCGCACTTTTCTGCATAAAAAAGCTCTCCTGTGAGTTTTCGTTATAGTTAGCCGTTTTTGAGATATTTCGATTTTTAAGGTTCGAAGCATTTTTAATTATTTATGGTAAAATAATATTTTTTTTACATTTTCGATTTGGGCATTACAAGTAATTAAGATGATCGTTTAGATTGTGTTTTTAAACACAGCAATAATTCCTAACTCCAAATAAACACAAAAAACAGAATATTAATTTGTTTAATTTTCCAATATTATTTTTAACAAATTAAATTAATTATTTACAACTAAAATGCTATTGGATAGTTAGGACAAACATACAAAATCGAAAGTAGTTGCTCGAAATGTAAACCCAACTGTTCAATACACAATTCACATCTACGAATGATCGAACGTGGTATAGCATTATTCAAATGAGGCCTTATTTCTTGTGGTTACGGGAGTCAGGTACACTTTTTCTTCTAGAAATCCCCACACAAAGAAATCTAATGGATTTATGTCAGGGGACCGTGGAGGACTGGTGGAGGACACTTGTGGTCGGATCTCTATCAAACTCACGGAGAATCATACGGGTAAATCTGCGCTGACGAACATTTATGTTTTGATTCCTTTGGAGATTTCCAAAACCATTTTCAATTATTTGGTGATGCACTCTTACAAATACTGAGCGAGTTAGATGTCGTCTGTTTGGAAGCCATACACAAAATGAATATCCGCTAACACTTGATTGGAGAATAAAAATGGCATTTTTATAAAACTTACAAAAAAAACAGGTAAAAGAAACTAAATTTCGTGCATTCACAAGTGCAAAAAAACGTTTCAGGTTTCAACAGACAACAAAACTAACTGTCAACTAATTGACGTTTAACCTTATTCTGCTTTCAATTTCAAAAATATTTGCAGGCACAGCCTACTTCTAAAAATTATCGAGATACTGACTTTTTAACGTTATTTTATCATACATAATTAAAAATGCATCGAACCTTAAAAATCGCAATATCTCAAAAACGGCTAACTATAACGAAAATTCACAAGATAGCTTTTTTATGTTGAAAAGTGCGAAGAATCAGTTTTTTTATTCAAAAAGCAAAAAATTGCACTAAAAAAATGTTTTTGCCCATTTTAATACACTACAGGTATAGTGGAGAGCGCCCTCTAGCGGCAACAGTAAAACTATGCCCTTGGTTCGTTTTGTCGTACCAAAAAACCCTTGTATACCAATTTTCACTATTATACATCAAATATTGTTCAAAATATTTAAAAAAAAACTATTTTAGAAAGTAAATTTAAACACCCTGTATTTCGGAAGCCGCGCATTTTTCGACCCATGTTTATATAGACTTTATGCATTAATTTTAAAAGTTCTATCTAACCTTAAAGTTATGCAACAATAAACTGAAGCACCCTGTATAGCCTGCCAAAAATGACCGAAAAATTTTGATTTTTTTCTTGCTCCCTTAACTTTTTGAGTAGTGTATATTTACGTTTTTTGACTAGATACTGGGCTGAGACTTATTTTGTTACAATGTAAAATTATTCCAGCTAGTAGACTAACAAGAAAGCAAAAATTTTGCAAAAAAATTTTCTATCGCTATCTGGAAAAATTGCATAAGAGCCGTTGCTCCTAAAATATTACTGTTAAAAACTAGAAAGCTAGAATCTTCAGGCTTCAAAATGCCTTCTTTAAAGTCTAGCAGTCTACAGCCTGCCAAAGATGACCGAAAATTTGGATTTTTTTCTTTATCCCTTAATTTTTTGACTAGGCACCAAGCGGAGGGGTATTTTTTTATTTAAGATTGTTGATTTCAAAATTTTAGTCATTTCAACAATTTTAAGCGTACGAAATCGCGTGTAATAGCTAGTTATTTGCAAAACTCTCCAGGAAGTTGTGTCGAACAGCGATCTACCAACAGCGTCGAACTCAAAATCCAGCGAGCTAGTTGCAGCTTCGCGAAAATGTCCTAGCACCAAGCCTAGCACAAGTTCATCGAGCTTGAAGCCTAAAAAATCATCGAGCATCCTCGGGGCGTTCGTGCGGAGGCGAAAAAAGTCCAAAGAGGCGATCGAAACTCAAAATTTAGGACCTAACAAAAGTAACTCCACCGTGTACTCTGAAGACGTGGAAGTAGAGGTTTCTGAAAATTATGAGAAGCATAACGAAAGTGAAGCGGAAGACAATAAAAGCTCAAAGCCTAAAAATACGCTCATAAATTCTGATTCAGAGGTACGCTATTTATTAGAGTAGATCTCGGGGCTGCCAGAAGAAAACGAACTTTCCCAAAATCAATTTAATTTTTTCCTGACTTCATTTGTAGTGGGATGTCCAAATAAATTGCACATTAGTATATTTGATTTCGTGGAATTTTTCAATTTGACCTTGAAACAACCTTCAAAGGATATCAAAACGCTTTTAACTTTTTTCCTCTACAAGATGGCATAATTAGAATTTCAATAGGACGTTTCGTCTCTTGTTCTGCAGCATCAACTTTATTTTTGCTATGCTATATTAGAATTTTACGCAGATAAATCCTGATTTCAAAAATGTAAAATACGTCATACATTCATATTGCGAAACCTTAGTTATACTAGAAAAACAGTAGTTCCAAGGTAGGCCTTGAAATTATCAGATAGTCATTTTGTTGTATGTTTTTAGTATTCCGTAGATACAGGCCATAAAACCAAGCGAGCATTTTTTAAGAAATTCATGAGGAGGTCTTTACAAGGAAACTCTAAAGGCAAATGCGACGAGGAAGTTAAAATCCAATCCAGCATGACCGACATGACCATGGGCATGCCTGACGCTACCGGGGAAAGTAAAATCTGTAAACACTGTCGGAGTAAGGAAAAATGTGGTAATGATGATGACGACCAAGGGATTTCTTCGTTAGATACGGACTTCGTAGTCTTCACTTCTTTCATGTATGTTAGCCGATTCAAGTCTCAAATTAGTTTATCTGTATCCAGTCATTTGAATGAGGAATTTCGAAGTCACTCCAGGATCATTTCATAAAAATCTGGTAGACCCGATTTCCCAGCATTTTCTCAATTTGACCTTGAAATGACCTCTAAGCCCTTCCAAATGACCTTACATGGACACACTGACCCCAAAATCGGACTCAACCACCTCAAAACCTTACGTACAAGTCTAGTAAATTTGATTTCGTAGCGTTTTTTCCAATCTGACCTTGAAATAACCTACAAATGAACTTGAAACGCTTTTCAAATTTGATTTCGAAGCATTTTTCCAATCTGACCTTGTAATAACCTACAAATGAACTCGACACGCTATTCAAATTACCTGATACAGACAAACTGACCTCATAAATAGATTCAGCTACCTCAAAAACTTACTTACCAGTATAGTGGATTGTATTTCTTGATATTTTTACAAGTTGACCTTGAAATAACTTTCAAATGACCTCGCAACTCTTTTCAAATGACCTGACATAGACAAACTGGCCTCAGAATTACACTCAGCCACCTCAAAAACCTACGCATAGGTCAAGTAGATTTGATTTCTTGACTTTTTTCAATTTGACCTTGAAATAACTTCAAACCGCTTTTTCAATGACCTGATACAGACAAACTGACCTCAGAATTGGACTCATCCACCACAAAAGCTTACGTACAGGTCAAGTAGATTTGATTTCCTGACATTTTTCATGTTGACCTTGAAATAAGCTTGAAATGACATCGAAACGCTCTTCAAATGAGCCAATCTGGACGAATTGATCTCAGAATCCGACTCAGCGGCTGCTGATATCTATGAGCCTCTTAGTCAAGTGCTAGATACATGATTAGTTGGTAAAATTTGTAATGTCACCTAAAACTGACCTTGAACAGACCTTTACGCTGATGTTCCTATAAGCACCGCTTTTGTCCAAAACGCTTAGTTATTTTCTGAGGTCAGTTTATCCGTATCATGTCATCTGGAGGGTGCGATTAGAGATCTTGTAAACATGATTTCCCATTTTTTCATTTGACCTTCAAAAAACCTCTAAGTGCCCTTGAAATGACCCATTAGGGACACACTGACCCCAAAATTGGACTCAATCACCCCAAAACCTTACGTACAGATTTAGTAGCATTTTTTTCAATCTGACCTTGAAATAACCTACAAATGAACGCTTTTCAAATGACCTGATACAGACAAACTGACCTCATAATTAGACAAAGCCACCTCTAAGACTTACGAACAGGTCTAATAGATTGGATCTCCTGGAATTTTTTCAACTTGACGTCGAAATAACCTTCGAAAACGCTTTTCCAATAACCTGATACAGACAAACTGACCTCATAATTGGACTCAGCCACGTCAAAAACCTATGTATAGGTCAAGTAGATGTGATTCCCTGACATTTTTTCAAATTGACCTTGAAATAACCTTCAAATGACTTTGAAACGCTCTTCAAATGACCCAATACGATCCAACTGTTCTCAGAATCAGACTCAGCGACTGCTGAAATCTGTGAGCCTGATAGTTAAGTGCCAGATTCATGATTAGTTAGTAAGATTTGTGATTTCACCTAAAACTGACCTTGAACAGACCTTTACCCTATTGTTCCTATAAGCGCCGCTTTTGGCCGAAACGCTTAGTCATTTTCTGAGGTTAATTTGTCCGTATCATGTCATTTGAAGGGCGCGTTTCGAGATCTTGTACACATGATTTCCCATTTTTTAATTTGACCTTCAAAAAAACTCTACGTGTCCTTGAAATGACCCATTAGGTCCACACTGGCCCCAAAATTGGACTCACTTACGTACGGATTTAGTAGATTTGATTTCGTAGCATTTTTTCCAATCTGACCTTGAAATAACCAACAAATGAACCCGAAACGCTTTTCTAATGACCTGATACAGACAAATTGACCTCATATTTAGACAAAGCCACCTCTAAAGCTTACGAACGGGTCAAGTAGATGTGATTTCCTGACATTTTTTCATGTTGACCTTGCAATAAACTTGAAATGGCATTTTTTTCACGTTGACCTTGAAATAACCTTCAAATGACTTGATCGCTCTTCAAATGACCCAATACGGACGAACTGTTCTCAGAATCGGACTCGGCGATCGCTGAAATCTATGAGTATGATAGTTAAGTGCCAGATACATGATTAGTTGGTAAACTTTATTTTACCTAAAACTGACCTTGAACAGACCTTTGTCCTGAGGTTCTTATGTATATTGGACACCACCGTTATTATTTATATGAACTACAAAGTTAGACCAACAAACGTTATTATTATTACATAAAAATAACGTTTTTCAGAAACTTCAGCAAACCCACTATGAACGCAACCTTAGCGACCGGTCTGCAGTTTGTTCATGAGCTTTGTACCAGGCTTTTGGAAAGTGAAAATCATTTCATTCAAATATTCAGCAAGTATATCAGAGACCCCAGCTTGCAAAGAGAACTGTGTAAGTATAGAAAACGGCGTTAAGTAGACTGACTCTGTCGCAATTCTGGGCAGATGGACAACCAATGATGGAAACATTGTCTACGTTATGTGAAATAAACCATTGTTACAATTGCATCTGTGTTCATGGAGACATGGCAGGCGATGTACAGGCTGGCCATATTTATGCACTTTTTCTTTTAATTCAGCATGAAAACGAAGAAAAAGTTATGTCTCTGCTACCGTATCACTTTCAGCAAAAATCTTATTAGTAGCGTCCCCAATTACCCAAACAATGTTAACGGATTACGTACGAGATTTGACCGGAAAATACGAATTAGTGTGAAATAATAGCTTTATTTTACAATTGTTCAGATATTTCAATATGGTCTCCTTCAATCGCTGAAAGTCTTCAATTGTGAGGCTCTTCATTTGACTACTTACTCGCTTGAACTGAGCATACAATGCCTTGGCACGACGCCCCGAATTTTTATACGTATTTTCTGGACAAATCGAAGTATCCTGTATATTGAGTATCACCGTTAACTTCTAGTAGATACCCTGAATCAACATTCGAAATTGCAATGGGAGACAGAACGTAGAACCAACACATTGGCAAACGACATGTGGATATATCAGATAGAGATAGGAAGAACCCAAGAAAAAACCCTACAGGAGACGTTGAATGCTTTGGTTAAACAGAACAGGCAATTGCAACTTGATCACGAGACATTGTTTAAGAAAAACGAGAGACTTGTTAGAAATCTTAGAGCACTGCCTGATGGACTAAGAGATAAATGCATGGGTAACAAAGCTTTACTGTTATCGCCTAGATGAAACTCCATGGATGATTAGTTGAAAGTCGATGTTTATGTTGCAGAATTTGATACTCAGATGGACCACACGGATAAGCATAACGAAAAGTTATGCTACAAACTCGAAAGATACTTGGCAGAAATAGAAAGCTTAGAAAACGAATTGGACATCCTTCAGAAACAAAATGATTGTTTAGAACAGCAGCTTAGGAACTCAACATCACAAATTCAAAATGTAAAAGGTATGTACTTACCGAAACTGTCAATTGCAACAAAAACATTAACCGATTGAGCTGAAATTTAGTACTTTTGGTTTGAATGACAATACAGAATGAATTAGCTTTTGAATCCATATTGGCGATTTATCATTTCCGAAGCAACCCCTAGGCTAGGGGCTAGGAGATCAAATCTAAGGACTTGATAAAAACATCGCTAGACTTCAGGAGCTTAAGTATACTAAGTGACATATAAATCCGAACACCCAGTTTAAATGGTTTTATTTTAATAAAAGTTGGTGAATGTATTTATCTTACTGTAAATAACAAGTGAAAAAATTTTCAGCCTTATCAGTTGGACATTCCGGTTTTTATACTGCTTTTTTTTAATTCACTAACGCTCTAAAAATGAATATTTCAGCCGCAGTAAAGAATCAACGTTGGCGGATTTTGGTTCTTGACATCCTTTACGATCGGTTACGATGCCTAGAGTACGGAGACCTGTACGATTTCGTCAACTTAGTGAGTTTGATAGGGGCCGTATAGTGGGACTTCGGGAAGCTGGACTTTCTTTTCGGGCAATTGCAGTTAGAGTGCAAAGAAGTGTAGACACTGTGGTTAGGTGTTGTCAGGCATGGCTTCGAGAAGGCCGTTCGCAAAGTGCAAGGGGCACTGGACGCTGCCGTAGAACAACAGACCGTGAAGATCGCCGCCTAAGATTATTGGCCTTAAGGGACCGTTTCTCCACTACCAGGTCCATTGCAAATGAATGGTTTGCAGAACACGGAAGACCTATTGGCATGCGAAGTGTTTACCGACGAATGAGAAGTTTTGGCTTGTTTTCATACCGGCCACACTGGGTCCTCCCTTTAACTCGAGAACACCGACGTAATCGCCTTGAGTGGTGCAGACAACGGTCACTGTGGGATCAGGAATGGAACAGTATTGTCTTGAGTGACGAGTCTCGATTTTGTTTAGTCATACACGATGGTCGTGCCAGGGTTAGAAGGCGACGTGGTGAAAGGAGGAATCCACAGTTTTTTGTTGAAAGACATGTTCATCACACTGTTGGAGTTATGGTTTGGGGTGTTATAGCTTATGGTTCCAGGTCACCTTTAATCTTCATCAGAGGTAACATGAACGCGCAGCGTTATATCCACGAAGTTCTAGAACCCCATCTTTTATCCTATCCTCACACCCTGGCAGATCCAACTTTCCAACAAGATAATGACCGACCACATGTTGCAAGAGTCACAATAGACTTCTTTTAACATAATGATGTCACATTGTTACCATGGCCACCATGATCTCCCGACTTATCCCCAATTGAGCACGTGTGGGATATGATGGGTAGGAGATTGCTCAATTTGCAACGTCCTCCTCAGACTCTTGAAGCACTTCGAGAGGAGTTGGTGGTTGCCTGGAATGAGATATCACAGGAGGACATTGACCACCTGATCAGAAGCATGCCTAGGTGCGTTGGAGAATGCGTAGCACGTCAGGGTGCATCTACACATTATTAAAGGTCAAAGGGCTTTAAAGCAGTGCAATCATTTTGAAATTTTTATCATTTACTCATTATGCTTCATTAAGTACTTATACAAAATTTTATTAAAATAAAACCATTTAAACTGGGGTTCGGATTTATATGTCACTTAGTATATTTCCAATTGGAAAAAAGTATTTTTAAATTTTTACCTTTATCATCGGCTAAATTGAAGTTTGTTTTCGAAAATGTATTTCTATTTTATTTGTTCGCGTCTATGGATGATTGAATAAATTTTGTACAAATTGCTATGATTTTTAAGCAATGTTCCAGAGGTCTAAGACAGACTACGAATTAGAAATCGTGGATTTGAACCACAGGTTGCTTCAAAGGGAAGCCATCATCAAAGAAGCTACCGAAGCTGGAGACATTCTGTTAGAAGACTTGGATGGTGTCAAAAGGCAGATAAAAAGTCGATCACTGGATATTAATTGGAGCAAGTTCAAGGTAGGAGAATTATAGCTACTTTCCAGTGGCACAGAATTTTTTATTTGAAGAAACGAATTTGCTACTGGAAACTTTGATCCTTAAGCTGTTTTCTACATTTTTCTTCACCATTTGAGGACATGTTGAATGCTTATACACGTTTCCCATTTACTTCACTCAACTTGCTATCAATTTCTATGGGTGGTAACGTTTTTGCGGATGGCTGCATGAATTCCGTCTCTAGCGGTGACGACGAGGAAGGCTCCAGGCGCTTCTTGTTGGGATCGGTGATCGGGGAGCCGAAAAACACGACGGCTCATTTTCGGAACAACCCTCGTAATATCTCATTTTCGAAAGTTTTCGCGATTACAATACTTCGTCAATATGGGTGGGAAGTAAAAATCAGGTTAAAATGAATTAAAAATGCAGAGTCACAAGTAACATGAAGCACATAATAAAAAAGATTACGGTTTCCTATTTAAAAAATTTTTAAAACTATAAAATTCGTGTCTCATGAGAAAGTAAGAGGTTTAAAACCAAAAATAAAACTGCTGTATTATATAAAAACTCTATTTCCAAAAACACAAAATAGGTACCCGAGACGTATATTTCCTCAATTTAGTTCTTTCCCTTCTTTTTCTTGTCTTTTCCCTTGCCCTTGCCTTTCTTTCTGTAAGGTCCCAACTTCCTTCTGAACATAATACCCCTCCACCATGCCTAATGAAAAAATTTATATGACTTCAACAACTCTAGCATACACCACGTAGTTTTACAACTTGCGAAACTTAAGTTTAGCACTCTTAATGGAGTTACCTTAGACTTAAAGCTCGCATTTCCACAGTGAAACGTGTTGAAATACTCGTATGTATGAATATTGAAAAGTTTTCACATTCGTTTTGTCCGCTTTTTATTTTTTTGATTTATTATTGCTTTTTTTTGTTTCAGATTTATTTAGCATTAATGCTACAATATGCATAATATCCATATTACACAGTATATCACAAAGTATATTGTCTTCAAGGCTACATATTTTTATACAAAATTTCACTACTATGCATTCTGGTTTTCCATGAAATATTTTTTCAATTTCCCTTTGAACATTTTCAAACTGACACACATCTTGATATCATTACATAATTTATTAAATTCGTACAATACCTTTTGAAATACTGACTTGCTCGTTATACTGCTAGTGCAGTTTTGTCAATGAAACTCTATACTTCCTCTAGTAGAATAATTGTGGCACTCATTGTTCAATACAATAAAATTTTCTAAGTGATTTGGTAGAAGATGATTTTTTAACTTGAATATGAAAATGAAAACCAAGTAGGCTATGAAATTTTTGATATTTGACCATTGTAGTTCTTTCAGCATAAAATTTATTCTAGTATATTTATTTTTATTTAAGATGATTATCATAGCTTTATTTTGTAATATTTGTAAATACAGCTTCATTTGCAGTGAACAAAATAGTCGAACAATATAACAAATGAGGAAGAATGATAGTGTTGTACACATTTTTTTTTTTTTAGAATAAACGCTTAGACTGCGAAATTTTATAAAAGTAATTTATTTTCTTGGATATTTTTGAAATAATATGTTCATAGTGCCCTTCAAGTTTTAATTTTCTGTCAACGTATATGCCCAAATATTTAAATGATTCGATTGACACAATTTTTTCATGATTAATTGTAAGATTTATCGTATTTTAATCTAAAGATTTTCCTATTACCATATATTTTGTTGCGTTTGTGTTTAGTTTAAGATTATTTACATTTAACCAATTTATTACGTTTTTCATATCATTATTTAACAGCTCTATTGCAGTTTCAATGTCTTTGTTTGATATATATTAATGTATCATCAGCAAATAGTTGATTTTTGCAGTGTTATAAAATATCAGGAATATCTTTCTTAAATAAAATAAATAGTAATGGACCTAATTTGCTTCCCTGTGGCACACCTACCGAAATGTTTATAATGTTTGATAATGTATTGTTAATTTTAGTTCTTTGACTTCTATTGATTAAATATACTAAGTGACATATAAATCCGAACACCCAGTTTAAATGGTTTTATTTTAATAAAATTTTGTATAAGTACTTAATGAAGCATAATAAGTAAATGATAAAAATTTCAAAATGATTGCACTGCTTTAAAGCCCTTTGACCTTTAATAATGTGTGGATGCACCCTGATGTGCTACGCATTCTCCAACGCGCCTAGGCATGCTTCTGATCAGGTGGTCAATGTCCTCCTGTGGTATCTCATTCCAGGCAACCACCAACTCCTCTCGAAGTGCTTCTAGAGTCTGAGGAGGACGTTGCAAATTGAGCAATCTCCTACCCATCATATCCCACACGTGCTCAATTGGGGATAAGTCGGGAGATCTTGGTGGCCATGGTAACAATGTGACATCATTATGTTAAAAGAAGTCTATTGTGACTCTTGCAACATGTGGTCGGACATTATCTTGTTGGAAAGTTGGATCTGCCAGGGTGCCAAGATAGGGTAAAAGATGGGGTTCTAGAACTTCGTGGATATAACGCTGCGCGTTCATGTTACCTCTGATGAAGATTAAAGGTGACCTGGAACCATAAGCTATAGCACCCCAAACCATAACTCCAACAATGTGATGAACATGTCTTTCAACAAAAAACTGTGGATTCCTCCTTTCACCACGTCGCCTTCTAACCCTGGCACGACCATCGTGCATGCCTAAACAAAATCGAGACTCGTCACTAAAGACAATACTGTTCCATTCCTGATCCCAGAGTGACCGTTGTCTGCATCACTCAAGGCGATTACGTCGGTGTTCTCGAGTTAAAGGGAGGACCCAGTGTGGCCGGTATGAAAACAAGCCAAAACTTCTCATTCGTCGGTAAACACTTCGCATGCCAATAGGTCTTCCGTGTTCTGCAAACCATTCATTTGCAATGGACTTGGCAGTGGAGAAACGGTCCCTTAAGGCCAATAATCTTAGGCGGCGATCTTCACGGTCTGTTTTTCTACGGCGGCGTCCAGTGCCCCTTGCTCTTTGCGTACGGCCTTCTCGAAGCCATGCCTGACAACACCTAACCACAGTGTCTACACTTCTTTGCACTCTAACTGCAATTGCCTGAAAAGAAAGTCCAGCTTCCCGAAGTCCCACTATACGGCCCCTATCAAACTCACTAAGTTGACGAAATCGTACAGGTCTCCGTACTCTAGGCATCGTAACCGATCGTGAAGGATGTCAAGAACCAAAATCCGCCAACGTTGATTCTTTACTGCGGCTGAAATATTCATTTTTAGAGCGTTAGTGAATTAAAAAAAAGCAGTATAAAAACCGGAATGTCCAACTGCTAAGGCTGAAAATTTTTTCACTTGTTATTTACAGTAAGATAAATACATTCACCAACTTTTATTAAAATAAAACCATTTAAACTGGGTGTTCGGATTTATATGTCACTTAGTATAATTTTGTAATAAGTTGAATACTCAACCTTGAAATCCATAGCAATGCAATTTCGTTAACAATTTCTCCCTGTCAATAGTCTCAAATGCTCTCTTGAAATCTAAGAACAATGTTTCAGTAGAATACTTTTTTCTGAATCCTGCTTGAAATTTTGTCAATATCTTATTTTCTTCAATATATTTAATGACTTGTTCATATATGATTCCTTCAAAGAGCTTCTCAACATCTGGCAGTACATTAATTGGCCGCATGTTAGTATATAACTCAGAATTTTGCAATTTTAGAACAGAAGCAATTGTAGACCATTTTAATTTTGAAGGAAATTCACCTGACACTACACAGTGATTCACTAACAATAACTTATCTCCAATAATGTTGAAACATTCCTTCATAGCCATTTTTGAAAGATGTTCACTAGGATTTCTATTCGATTTCAATCTTGTAATAGCTTTTGAAAGATGGCTGATATTTATTGTTTGGAATTGCGTATATTTTTTCATTTGAATGCTTATCAATGCAATGGAAGAGGTTTGATGAAAGCTCGTTATGTGGAAACGGAAGGGTTATTACATAAAATACCTATAAAATGTAAAAAACCTACTAATTGTCAACGTGTGTCAAAATAAACTACATAACGTCAGATTTTTTGGTATTTTAAAGGTATGCCGACACTGACCTGTATCTTGATGGCAGCCCAAATTTCAAGAGCTTCCCTATCTTCTTTCTCTTTTTTAATACGTTTATACTCCAACCAATCAGCAATAGCAGCTTTTCTTTCTGCATAAAGGTTTCTAGTCTTCACCAAATCTTCTGAGATTTTTTCTAGATCAGCTCTCAGTCGAACAGTATTGTTATCGCGTGCATCAATTTCATCGTCGTAACTTTTCATCCAGTATTGGATTTCTTCCATGTAATCCTGCAGAAATCGTTAATTGACATTTCCGCAGATTATTATTGCCACCGCATAAATTGTTAACAAAATGATATAAAACGCGACGAGATAGGAAAATGATACTCAAAGATCTTTAGTCTCTGTTATTCTCTCCAAAACCGCATTATATACGGAATAATCAAAGTCAATCGAGTTTATTTTGGGCCTATATAAACAAAATTTACACTTGGACGTTTGGATATGCTTAAGAGAAATTTATTGTGACACCACTGACCACAGTTCTCTAAATATGTCATTTTGGCGTATATTTTCAGATAATCGCCAAACAGTAAATTGTGACACTTTAGTGTAGGGCTTTGGTTCAATTTGTGCGGCACGCTAGAGGAATCAGTATAATTTGCTACAAAATAACCATTATATACTAAGTGACATATAAATCCGAACACCCAGTTTAAATGGTTTTATTTTAATAAAAGTTGGTGAATGTATTTATCTTACTGTAAATAACAAGTGAAAAAATGTTCAGCCTTATCAGTTGGACATTCCGGTTTTTATACTGCTTTTTTTTTAATTCACTAACGCTATAAAAATGAATATTTCAGCCGCAGTAAAGAATCAACGTTGGCGGATTTTGGTTCTTGACATCCTTTACGATCGGTTACGATGCCTAGAGTACGGAGACCTGTACGATTTCGTCAACTTAGTGAGTTTGATAGGGGCCGTATAGTGGGACTTCGGGAAGCTGGACTTTCTTTTCGGGCAATTGCAGTTAGAGTGCAAAGAAGTGTAGACACTGTGGTTAGGTGTTGTCAGGCATGGCTTCGAGAAGGCCGTACGCAAAGAGCAAGGGGCACTGGACGCCGCCGTAGAACTACATACCGTGAAGATTATTGGCCTTAAGGTACCGTTTCTCCACTACCAGGTCCATTGCAAATGAATGGTTTGCAGAACACCGAAGACCTATTGACATGCGAAGTGTTTACCGACGAATGAGCAGTTTTGGCTTGTTTTCATACCGCTCACACTGGGTCCTCCCTTTAACTCGAGAACACCGACGTAATCGCCTTGAGTGGTGCAGACAACGGTCACTCTGGGATCAGGAATGGAACAGTATTATCTTTAGTGACAAGTCTCAATTTTGTTTAGGCATGCACGCTGGTCGTGCCAGGGTTAGAAGGCGACGTGGTGAAAAGAGGAATCCACAGTTTTTGTTGAAAGACATGTTCATCACACTGTTGGAGTTATGGTTTGGGGTGCTATAGCTTATGGTTCCAGGTCACCTTTAATCTTAATAACAAGAATGCGCAGCGTTATATCCACGAAGTTCTAGAATCCCATCTTTTACCCTATCTTGACACCCTGGCAGATCCAACTTTCCAACAAGATAATGCCCGACCACATGTTGCAAGAGTCAAAATAGACTTCTTTCAACATAATGTCACATTGTTACCATGGCCACCAAGATCTCCCGACTTATCCCCAATTGAGCACGTGTGGGATATGATGGGTAGGAGGTTGCTCAATTTGCAACGTCCTCCTCAGACTCTAGAAGCACTGCGAGAGGAGTTGGTGGTTGCTTGGAATGAGATACCACAGGAGGACATTGACCACCTGATCAGAAGCATGTCTAGGCGCGTTGGAGAATGCGTAGCACATCAGAGTGCATCCACACATTATTAAAGGTCAAAGGGCTTTAAAGCAGTGCAGTCATTTTGAAATTTTTATCACTTACTTATTATGCTTCATTAAGTACTTATACAAAATTTTATTAAAATAAAACCATTTAAACTGGGTGTTCGGATTTATATGTCACTTAGTATAATAAACATCCGAACATACATTTCTGTTTTTGTCAATATAAGCCATCAGTTCCATGTGGCATCGATTTTCCAACTCTATGTTGTCCTCCATTTCTTTTATTGTATCTTTATAAGAGTTTTCTCTTTTATCGCACATCATTATATTTTGTTCATTTCTGGATAACTCCCACCGCTCAAAGTATGTCTTTTCATATCGTCCATACACTAAAATAAAAAATGGCTTCCAGTAAGTTGACTCTGACCAAAAATTAAATTAATTAAATGTCATTCTGTATATATCTGAATTATTTTTACGTCTTCGGTATTTTGTTAAATGTCTCATTGCGGTAAAAATACCGTCAAATCGTTAGATTCGGCAGCACTGCCTACAAGGCCCAACAGGCACACAGAATACGAGGGACGTCTTTTAAGTTTTGCATATATAGTCAACGCCAAACAAAGTGGCGTGCACGTCATCAAGGTGGGTGTGTTGAAAAATTTACATTGTTGCCAAACTTTTTGTAAAATAATAAAATTTATTATTTACATATCTAGGCTTATAAGCAATATTAACCGCAAATGAGAACAAAAATAATGGTATAATAAAATTATAGATCTGTACTTGCATAATCATTAAGTATGACAATTATTGATCAGATGACACTATGAAACTACCATATTTAATTGATAGCTTAAAGGTACTGAATAAAAATCCAAATGGGGTCCTGAAAATTTTATGCATGGTATTTATTTTACAGAATTCATACAGAAAAATGCATTCTAAAATTAGGTAAGCTACTGGTGTAAGCTTTTTCTGTACAATAAAGTTAGTCGGAGTTTCTTTCTTCAGCGCTGTCTGAATCTGAATCTTCATCACTCTCAAAGTTGATTATTAAAGGTTCGATGTCTGGTCGATCAAAAATTCGTTCTCTTTCATACCATTTAAAAATTTCTTGCTCAGTATGTCGAACACTATTTTTCCACATGTCTGGGGTAACCGTTTGTAGAGCCTCGTTCCACATATCCAAACAGTCTTTTTCACTGTTACCATCTCTACCAATATGTCTGTTATAGTAACCTTTTGCTATGCCCCAAATTAACTCAATAGGGTTAAATATACAATGGTAAGGAGGCAGACGAAGAACTTTGTGCCCATGTTGTTCCGCCAATTCATCAATCACGTATATTTTAGGTGGTTTGTTTCTAAAAAAGCAGTTATTTTAAGAATAGGAATAAACAAAAGAAATATAAACTGTCGACCAAAATATATATAATTAAGAAGCATTATGTACCGAGCAACAATACTCAATAGCTCTGTTTTAAACATTGTGTTTAAAAATGGTATGTTTTGATTTGTCAACCAGTCTTGGATATTTTTTTTTGTCCATGCATTGTTGGGCACTTTGTTCAATATCATGCTGTGATAGGGGGCGTTATCCAGTATAATCATAGATGGACTCTCCAATTTTTCTAATAACTGATGTTGAAACCATTTCAAAAAATTGTCCTGGTTCATCTCTCCATGGTAATCGCTCAATTTTGTTTTCGAAGAAAATATCGCTTCACTACCCTCAATAAACCCATTTTCATTTCCAGCATGTAATATAATGTATCTAAAATATATTAGTTTTAAATTTTATAGTGCAAATTGTGTAAAAGTACATACCTTTTACCATCTGTTTTAGTAGCTTTCACGCTTTTTTGGTTTCCATTTTGCCAAGAGCGACCTATGGTCCCATTTTGAAATATCCAAGTTTCATCGAGGAAGACAAACTGGTATAAGGCCTCAACCTTGGCTTGATTGTATTGCCTTAGAAATTCCACCCTTTTCAAAGCTATACTTGGTAGTTCCATGAGCCCTCGTCGCGGATTGTCCTTAAACCACTTAAATCCAAGATCTCTAAGCAACCGCCTTAAAGACGTGGCACTACCATCAAATAATGCCCTATCTCTTAATCGAGACCATAAAGTTTATATCGTAACTTGTTCTTCTGAAACCATGTGTAATATGACATTATAATTTAGTTAACAAATTATTGCAAATTTCTGATAAGTTATTATAATAAGATCTTACTTTTGTGATACATATTATAGATCACTTCTCGAATGGCACTTGTATCCAATGTCGCTGTGTTGGTTACACGTTTAATATAACTCCGCTTTTTCTTGGGCGATTCTAAATTTGCATCACTTTTCACACCCTCGGAAATACGACTAACTGTCCTTAAACTAATTTTTAAAGCAGCAGCAACACGCTACAAAAAATGAAATAAAATTTCACTATTATTAATATACATTACATATAATTATTAGTAACCTACCTCTTGAACAGCATTTAAAGGCAACAAAGGCCCGTTGTTGTCCCTTTCTTGCTCAAAGTAGTGCATTAACGAGGCCACGAGTTCCTTACACCGACTATTTAACTGTTTGGGCATCTTTATATACCAAAATTGCCTTTATCTACTCGTAAAATGAATAATTTTGTTTTGAAACAAACAGTTGTTGATTTACAGTATGCGGGGCCAAAGGATTTATAAAGATTTGAAATGCCACAAATTGATTCAGTGTCAAAATTAATACAAATGTCAGTTCCCAGTTTAAATAAGTTTCAAGGTGACAATGTGTCAACGCTGCGAAATCGGTTTAGTGCGTTTACATGTCGATAAGTGATTGGAGCGTTTGCAAAACATTTTATTTCGCATAATGCGTCTAAATTTATCAGAAAGCAACTTATGTGATATTTTAATAACAATGTTTATATGACTATTAACCATAATAAGAGAGTAATGACCATTTTACAATTTATATATCACATTAATATGAAACTGCAATAGAGCAATTGTTTGTGATAGAAACCTAGGCATTAGGTCGGGGAATTTTTATCGTGATGACGTGCACGCCACTTTGGCGTTGACTATAGAAACGTAGTAGGCCGCGCGGATCGAACGTTAGTACTGAATCTTAACCTCACTCTCTACTAAACTTAAATTCAAAGTTTCACAACAATACGTGCAGTGTTCTCACTACAGTGAATTTTTAAGGGTCACCAAGTGGAACTCAACCGAGAAAATTTTTGCGCCATAATTTATATAACTTAAAAGACATCCCTCGTACGCGTTTGAGGATCTATGGCTTACACAGTACCTACTAGGTCTTCGACCTCGAACCTCAACTTCTGTATTTTCGCCTGCGTCTCTTCAATCGTTCTTATGTTAGCCAATCTCTCTTCTTCTAGCAGATTCGTCAACTCGACAACGGCCTTTTCGTTTGATTCTGCATCGATCATCAATTGCACCTCGTCTTCTTGCATCCGCCTTAAGGCAACGCAACTGTCTTTCAGAATCTTGAACGTATCCTCCATGTTGATCTCCGATCTCGCGTCGGATAGGACCACTATGATCAAGTTGATGTCTTTGGCGAGCTTGTCGTAGTTGCTGGTTACGGAGCTTATCCTCGTCTGAGCATGGTCTTCGGTGCCGGTGTATCTACAATAACCCAGAACGGGTTATGGCACGACCGTCAAATATTCGCGAAGGTTAGACCTACCTAGGAAATTCTGTTCTTTTACAATAACTAAGGTTTGGTAATGTCAATGTATACTAAGTGACATATAAATCCGATCACCCAGTTTAAATGGTTTTATTTTAATAATTAAGTGCTTAATGAAGCATAATAAGTAAATGATAAAAATTTCAAAATGATTGCACTACTTTAAAGCCCTTTGACCTTTAATAATGTGTGGATGCACCCTGATGTGCTACGCATTCTCCAACGCGCCTAGGCATGCTTCTGATCAGGTGGTCAATGTCCTCCTGTGGTATCTCATTCCAGGTAACCACCAACTCCTCTCGAAGTGCTTCTAGAGTCTGAGGAGGACGTTGCAAATTGAGCAATCTCCTACCCGTCATATCCCACACGTGCTCAATTGGGGATAAGTCGGGAGATCTTGGTGGCCATGGTAACAATGTGACATCATTATGTTGAAAGAAGTCTATTGTGACTCTTGCAACATGTGGTCGGGCATTATCTTGTTGGAAAGTTGGATCTACCAGGGTGTCAAGATAGGGTAAAAGATGGGGTTCTAGAACTTCGTGGATATAACGCTGCGCGTTCATGTTACCTCTGATGAAGATTAAAGGTGACCTGGAACCATAAGCTATAGCACCCCAAATCATAACTCCAACAGTGTGATGAACATGTCTTTCAACAAAAAACTGTGGATTCCTCCTTTCACCACGTCGCCTTCTAACCCTGGCACGACCATCGTGCATGCCTAAACAAAATCGAGACTCGTCACTAAAGACAATACTGTTCCATTTCTGATCCCAGAGTGACCGTTGTCTGCACCACTCAAGGCGATTACGTCGGTGTTCTCCAGTTAAACGGAAAGACCCAGTGTGGCCGGTATGAAAACAAGCCAAAACTTCTCATTCGTCGGTAAACACTTCGCATGCCAATAGGTCTTCCGTGTTCTGCCAACCATTCATTTGCAATGGACCTGGTAGTGGAGAAACGGTCCCTTAAGGCCAATAATCTTAGGCGGCGATCTTCACGGTCTGTTGTTCTACGGCGGCGTCCAGTGCCCCTTGCTCTTTGCGTACGGCCTTCTCGAAGCCATGCCTGACAACACCTAACCACAGTGTCTACACTTCTTTGCACTCTAACTGCAATTGCCCGAAAAGAAAGTCCAGCTTCCCGAAGTCCCACTATACGGCCCCTATCAAACTCACTAAGTTGACGAAATCGTACAGGTCTCCGTACTCTAGGCATCGTAACCGATCGTAAAGGATGTCAAGAACCAGCATCCGCCAACGTTGATTCTTTACTGCGGCTGAAATATTCATTTTTAAAGCGTTAGTGAATTAAAAAAAGCAGTATAAAAACCGGAATGTCCAACTGATAAGGCTGAAAATTTTTTCACTTGTTATTTACAGTAAGATAAATGCATTCACCAACTTTTATTAAAATAAAACCATTTAAACTGGGTGTTCGGATTTATATGTCACTTAGTATATGTAATGAGTCTTTGGAATCGGAATTTGAAACTCTGTCTATCTGTGCAAAAATCCAATTGGCGTGCATAAGAAAAAATAAAGTAGAGGAGAAAAAGTGGCAATGTTAATTTGCAATTTATTTTCAAATCCTAATACAAATAAACTCAGGAGCAAACTAAAACGTCTTTCTTTGAAACTATCTAAGGGGCATGTTGTTAGCCATCTAATACGCAGCCTTGTCTCATTTAAGCAACTCCGTATCTCTTACCATTTCCGATATCTCAATGGTGAGGGTCGAATTTGAACTATACAGGGTGCTTCAGTTTATTGTTGCATAACTTTAAGATTCGATAGAACTTTTAAAATTAATGCATAAAGTCTATATAAACATGGGTCGAAAAATGCGTGGCTTCAGAAATACAGGGTGTTTAAATTTACTTTCTAAAATATTTTTTTTTAATATTTGATGTATAACTGTGAAAATTGGTATACAAGGGTTTTTGGTACGACAAAACGAACCATGGGCATAGTTTTACTGTAGCCGCTAGAGGGCGCCCTCTACTGTTCCTGTAGTGTGTTAAAATGACCGAAAATTTTTTCTTAGTGCTCTTTTTTGCTTTTTGAATAAAAATACTGATTCTTTGCACACAAACATAAAAAAGCTCTCTTGTGAATTTTCGTTTAGTTAGCCGATTTTGAGATATTTCGATTTTTAAGGTTCGATGCATTTTTTATTTATGATAAAATAACGTTAAAAAGTCAGTATCTCGATAATTTTTATAAGTAGGCTGTGCCTGCAAATATTTTTGAAATTGAAAGCAGAATAAGGTTAAACGTCAATTAGTTGACAGTTAGTTTTGTTGTCTGTTGAAACCTGAAACGTTTTTTTGCAATCGTGAATGCACGAAATTTAGTTTCTTTTACCTGTTTTATAAAAATGCCATTTTTATTCTCCAATCAAGAGTTAGCGAATATTCATTTTGTGTATGGCTTTGTAAATGGAAAAGCAGCAGAAGCAGCCAGAGAATACGCACGAAGATTTCCAAACAGACGACATCCAACTCGCTCAGTATTTGTAAGAGTGCATCGCCAAATAATTGAAAATGGTTTTGGAAATCTTCAAAGGGATCAAAACATAAATGTTCGTCAGCGCAGATTTACCCGTATGATTCTGCGTGAGTTTGATAGAGATCCGACCACAAGTGTTAGGAGAGTTTCTGGTGCCTTGGGAATTTCAGCAAGCCATGTTCACCGTGTTCTTAGAAATTACCATAGACGTCCTTACCATTTGCAAACTGTGCAAGGACTACAGCCAGGGGACGGAGAATGAAGAATCACATTTTGTCAGTGGATTCTTGATAGAACTGATAATAATAGGGAGTTTTTAAGTAACGTTTTATGGACCGATGAGTCATGCTTCACTAGACGTGGAGTGCTAAATTTTCATAATCAACATATTTGGTCGCATGAAAATCCGCATGCAGTTCGGCAAAGAAATTTTCAGCATGAATTTAGTGTGAACGTGTGGATTGGTATCTACCGTAATCGACTATTTGGACCCTACCTTCTGCCTGCAAGGTTAAATGCTGCGACCTTCTTGGAATTTTTAAAGGCTGAACATCCAAATATGTGGGATGATGTTATGTTCGATTTAAGAAGATTGGCCTGGTTCCAGCTTGATGGTTGTCCAGCTCATTATTCGAGAATAGTTAGAAACTGGCTGGACGAAAATTATCCAGAAAGATGGATCGGCCGTGGAGAACCAGTTGCCTGGCCTCCACGATCCCCTGACCTAAATCCATTAGATTTCTTTGTGTGGGGATTTCTAGAAGAAAAAGTGTACCAGACTCCCGTAACCACAAGAGATATGCTAATAGATAGAATCAGAAATGCATGTGATGAAATAAGGCCTTATTTGAATAATGCTATACCACGTTCGATCATTCGTAGATGTGAATTGTGTATTGAACAATTGGGTTCACATTTCGAGCAACTACTTTAGATTTTGTATGTTTGTCCCAACTATCCAATAGCATTTTAGTTGCAAATAATTAATCAGTTTTTTTGTTCAAAAAGCAAAAAATTACACTAAGAAAAATTTTTCTGTCATTTTAATACACTACAGGTACAGTAGAGAGCGCCCTCTAGCGGCTACAGTAAAACTATGCCCATGGTTCGTTTTGTCGTCCCAAAAAACCCTTGTGTACCAATTTTCACTGTTATACATCAAATATTGTTCGAAATATTTAAAAAAAAACTATTTTAGAAAGTAAATTTGAACACCCTGTATTTCGGAAGCCACGCATTTTTCGACCCATGTTTATATAGACTTTATGCATTAATTTTAAAAGTTCTATCGGATCTTAAATAAACTGAAACACCCTGTATACTCTTCTAATGAAAATCTTCAAGACTAGAATGGTGACTTACCTTTCTTCGAGGCTCACATAACTGGGAGAATCATCAGACTGCACCACAGAACTTCCTGTAATGCACCTCAGTATGAACAGTTGATCAATGCACTCACACAGTATGCACTTCATCATTTTTTTCAAGAATAGCGTTGTGCATGCGTCTTCGATGTAACTGAAGAGTAATTCATGGTTTGTTACTGGTATCATCAGTTCTTCGGATGACTCCATTTCGTAAAAGTAGGATGAAGAATTGCAAAAGAGCTGCTGTTATTATGACAGACGTTTGTCAACTGACATAGGTTTTTTGTACAAGCTATACAGGGTGACGTTAAAGTTGAGTCATTAATTTTCAGATAACGATTGTAGAAGGAAGATAAACCAATATATGTGTGTAAAAATAAAAAAAAATGTTACCTTGTTTTATAAAGTATCCTCCCGACAAGTATTTCAGTGCGGACCTGTATTTGATCGTGCGGTCTTGGAGCACCGGAATGCCTTCCCCTGTGAGGTCTTAAGTCACCTGATTCACGAGCACATTGTACTACATTAACAAAGGCACGAGGGGTTGGTTGCTCTCGATTGGGAAACCGATCCGAATAAATCCGTGATGCCGCGGCAGCATTTTGTAAAGACTCCCCCCCGTAAATAAGAATTATGTCCATTATGTCCAATGATGATGGATCCCTCGAGCACTAAAAACTCCGGACGTAAACTCACTCCACTCTCGGAATGTCCGGGTGGAGGGTGGGATCGAGGGAACAACATCGAAGATAAAATTTGTTTTTCCAACATCTGCGGGATCAACAGCAACATTGATGCTGTTCATCACTACCTGCAATCCAATCGTCCCGCCGTGCTTTTCTTGGCGGAGACAAAAATCTCAGAGGCTGCACCGATTAACCATCTCAACTCCCCAAACTACGAGGTGCACTCCAATCTGAGAAAGAACGGGGGAGTTGTGGCTTTTGTCCGCAGCAGTCTTTCCTGCTCCAGGGATCTTTCTTTGGAGTCAGACTGGAAGGACATTCTGTGGCTTCGCCTCAACTCCAAAACATCACCCAAATTTATTTGCTGCCTTTATCGCTCTCCCTCGAACCATAACTGGGATGACCTACTCGAATACCTCGCCGTCCAGATCGTCTTCCTGAACATCAATCACCCCGCTTCAGAGGTAGTTCTTCTCGGTGATTTCAATGCCCATAATGAGCTTTGGTTGGGCTCAAATAAGACCGATGCAGCAGGTCGTGCAGTCGAAGCGTTCGCTCTTACTCAAGGGCTGACCCAGCTGGTGACGAGCCCTACTTTTTCCCCCGCGTCTCGTCACACGCCAGTAGCCTGCTGGATCTCTTTCTGACCACGCATCCTGCCCCTTACAGCACTGCCGTCCTGGCCCCCCTGGGTAACTCAGATCACGGTGTTGTGGAGGTTAGGTTTCGGTCAGAAGCCGCTGTGGCCGCAGAAACCCGCACAGGCCGCAAAATTTGGCATTACGGACATGCCGAATGGGAGGGGCTCAGAGACTTCTTCTCTAGCTTTCCTTGGAGAGATGTCTGTTTCACTGACGCGGATGCGTCGACTGTCTGTTCTTCAATAACCGAAATTATCCACGTCGGAATGGAGGAATACATCCCTCACACAGTGAAAGCTCCTAAACCAGGGTCCAACGGCTGGTTCAACAAATCGTGTGACACTGCTCGCCAGCAGAAGATGAAGGCCCACAGAACCTACTTACAAAACCCCACTGTAGAGAACAGACAAGCCGACGTCGAGTCCAGAAACAAATATAACGAAGCGGTTCGCAATGCCAAAACCCAGCATGATATAAAAGTTAGGCACAGGGTAATGTCGCAGCGCAATGGCAGTCGGTCTTTCTGGACGCTGGCCAAGCAGATTGAAAATAACTTCTCACACAGTAGCCTTCCACCACTTACGTGCCAGGATGGAACTATTGTATTCGACTCAAAGGCCAAGGCGGAAGTGCTAGCCAAGATCTTTGCTGCCAACTCCACCTTGGACGTCCCCACCAACGCCCAAGTGCCGTCAATTCAAAGGGTTCCCCACACTATGCGGGAGATAACATTCAGGCATAAGACCGTAAGACGAGTGCTCTTGTCGCTCGACATCAACAAAGCTTCTGGTCCGGACTTGATTCCTGCCATTGTACTGAAGAGATGTGCAGCTGAGGTTGCTCCAGTTCTTCCGCGTCTGTTCCAGATATCTTATGAATCCGGCACTTTCCCAGAAAACTGGAAATTTGCTCATGTACAGCCCATCCCAAAAAAGGATCTAAAACCGACCCTTACAACTACAGGCCTATAGCTCTGCTTTCTGTTATAGGTAAAGTAATGGAGAGGTGTATAAATCGCGAGCTTCTGGACTACCTCGAACGTCACAGCTTGATTAGCGACAGGCAGTACGGTTTCCGGCACCAACGATCCACAGGGGACCTCCTAGCTTACGTCACGCAACTGTGGAGTAAACTCATCCAGTCTCATGGTGAGGCTCATGTCGTTGCTCTTGACATCACGAAAGCGTTCGATCAGCTGTGGCACGCTGCCCTCTTGAGCAAGCTTCCATCCTACGGCCTCCCAGAAAAGCTTTGCAGATGGGTGGCTGACTTTATCTCTGGCCGCAAGATATCCGTCGTAATTGACGGATTCTCCTCTTCATCCCACAACGTCAACGCAGGTGTTCCCCAGGGATCGGTCTTGGCTCCAACAGTGTTTCTCTTACATATCAACGACCTCCTTTCCTGCACGATCAACCCAATCCACAGCTTCGCTGATGACAGCACTCTACATGCAGGAATTCAGAGTGACAAGCCGATCTCTGCCGCTGGCTGGAAAAAAGAAGACTAGCGACGACTTCTTCTCTGACAAGAGACCTGGAGGCTATCACTGCTTGGGGACGCAACAATCTTGTACAGTTCAATGCTTCCAAAACACAGTACTGTACTTTGACGAACAAAAAGCGTCTTAGCGCTCATACAGTTTCGATGGACGGTCGAGTTCTACCAAAGAGCCATTCATTTCGGTTGGTCGGAGTCCAGATCACCGAGGACCTGATCTGGCACGAACACATCTCTTCAATAGCTGCAGCTGCTGGGAAAAAGCTAGGCTATTTGTTTAGGGCTAAGAAGTACTTTTCTCCGCATGACCTTCTCACTCTATACAAGGCCCAGATAAGGCCTAGCCTCGAGTATTGCTCACACATTTGGGGTGCTGCCGCCCCGACTACATTGTCCATGCTCGATGCTGTCCAGAGGAGGGCGGTCCGACTGATCGATGACTCTTCTCTAACAGACAGTCTCGGGACTCTTTCGCACCGGCGGGCCGTCGGCGATCTAGCTCTTTTCTATCGCTACACCAACGGGCTTTGCTCCTCAGAGCTCTCTTCCATGATGCCGCCGCGCGATGTGCCTGCCAGACAGACCCGCCTGACTTCGGCGCCCCATCCTAACCGTGTCAAACTTCGTACATCCAGAACTGGCCGATACGACCGCTCCTTTATGCCGAGGGTATCTAGATTGTGGAACAAACTACGGGAGGAAGCTTTTCCCAGTTCTACTAACCTTAGGCAGTTCAAAAATCGTATTAACAAAATTTCTTTGGGATCATCATAGCAGCCGCGGTGTTCCGGCATTTAGGCTTCTGCCTGCGCGGCTGTTTCGATATATAAAAAAAAAAACAAGTTCAGCATTTTCGTAAACATGTGCCATTTTTTATTTCGTTTGAGCCACGCAATCAACACCACTATTCACTCACGCGTTACCGACTGACACATTGATTGAATACAACTGAATAAAATTGTAGTAAAAACATCGTGATAAGCGTTTCAAATTCTTTCGCTTTTTTGTTTCCGATGCGATGAACCGATAAGGCGGATTATATCCGTTGTTGCCAAACACGAGCACATAATATTATTATTGAGACAGGGCGGTACTCAAACTTCTAAAGGGCTATAACTTTGTTACTTTAATTTTACCAGAAAAATGTTAAAGGAAAAAACATTTATTTTGATCAGATCTACTCACTGTTAAAATAAATGACTCAACTTCGACTCGAACCCTGTATATTGTTTAAGTTATTTTTTCGACATCTATAGCTTTCCATAAAAGAATGGAACAATGAACAACGATTTTTCGGAGAAGGTTACCAGCTATGTTAAGTCCATTGTACATTAACTGGTGAGGAAGTATTGAAATCGCAAAGTATTCGTTCTACAGGTTGTCCAAATATTCTGGGGCCATAGAAGTTGTACGTATTTTTAGACTCGACTCGATTTTCCTTTCTAGTGTCGTGGCAGCGGTCTAACAGACTTGCTACACCTGGCGAGAATTTGTATCAACGAGTTGTCCAAAGAGTTGTTCAACCAAAGCAATGAGATGATTCTAAGAGACAAAGACATGTACGTGACAATTTTAATTTTGATACCCTTCCAGTGCATTTTTGCTATTTAATTTTGTAGTCAGAATCTCCAAGACACCAATGCGAAGCTGCGGGAAAGTCTAAAAAGATCAACGGGCGAGTTGAATAGTATTTCTATGAAAATTAATGACGGTACCTTGGTCGATTCGAGCCAAGTAGTTCAGGAAGAAAAGTACAGAATGTTGAAGGCAGAGTTGAAAATCATGGAAGAGAAATCGGAAAATAATGAAGCCAAGCAAGAGGCGGAGAAGAAAGATTTGATAGATAGAATTGAAGAACTTAATGCAATTAACAAAGAAGTGAGTGGTTTGCCAACACAGTGTTCTTCATAATTTTTTGCGTAAAGATCTTCTTACCGATTGTTAACAAAGAATACAGAATTACCAGTAGAAGAACCATTCTGTAGCGTTTTTCTGGGTTCTTTTCGGTGTGGATTGAAACACTGGATTCCACAAAAAGAAATGCAGTAATTTATTTAGCTTGATAAAACATTTATATACACCACTATTTATGTCTGACTAATTCTTATGTCACCATTGACTGTACTATACTTCACTCCGCACTGCTACTCTACCGTATTCAGTACTCTCTGTTTATTGTTGCATAACTTTACGATTCGATAGAACTTTAAAATTAATGCATAAAGTCTATCTAAACATGGGTCGAAAAATGCGTTTCTTCCGGAATACAGGGTGTTTAAATTTACTTTTTAAAATAGTTTTTTTTAAATATTTCGAACAATATTTGATGTATAACAGTGAAAATTGGTACACAACGGCTTCTTGGTACGACAAAACGAACCATGGGCATAGCTTTACTGTAGCCGCTAGAGGGCGCTCTCTACTGTACCTGTAGTGTATTAAAATGACCGAAAATTTTTTATTAGTGCAATTTTTTGCTTTTTGAATAAAAAAACTGAATCTTCGTACTTTTCTGCATAAAAAAGCTCTCTTGTGAATTTTCGTTATAGTTAGCCGTTTTTGAGATATTTCGATTTTTAAGGTTCGATGCATTTTTAATTATTTATGGGAAAATAATATTTTTTTTACATTTTCGATTTGGGCATTACAAGTAATTAAGATGATCGTTTAGATTGTGTTTTTAAACACAGCAATAATTCCTAACTCCAAATAAACACAAAAAAAACAGAATAATAAATTGTTTAATTTTCCAATATTATTTTTAACAAATTAAATTAATTATTTACAACTAAAATGCTATTGGATTATTGGATAGCTAGGACAAACATACAAAATTTAAAGTAGTTGCTCGAAATGTAAACCCAATTGTTCAACACACAATTCACATCTACGAATGATCGAACGTGGTATAGCATTATTCAAATAAGGCCTTATTTAATCACATGTATTCCTGATTCTGTCTATTCGCATATCTCTTGTGGTTACGGGGGTCTGGTACACTTTTTCTTTTAGAAATCCCCACACAAAGAAATCTAATGGATTTAGGTCAGGGGATCGTGGAGGCCAGGCGACTGGTCCTCCACGGCCGATCCATCTTTCTGGATAATTTTCGTCCAGCCAGTTTCTAACTATTCTCGAATAATGAGCTGGACAACCATCAAGCTGGAACCAGGCCAATCTTCTTAAATCTAACATAACATCATCCCACATATTTGCATGTTCAGCCTTTAAAAATTCCAAGAAGATCGCAGCATTTAACCTTGCAGGCAAAGGTAGGGTCCCAATAGTCGATTACGGTAGATACCAATCCACACGTTCACACTAAATTCATGCTGAAAATTTCTTTTCCGAACTGCATGCGGATTTTCATGCGACCAAATATGTTGATTATGAAAATTTACCACTCCACGTCAAGTGAAGCATGACCCATCGGTCCATAAAACGTTACTTAAAAACTCCCTATTATTATCAGTTCTATCAAGAATCCACTGACAAAATGTGATTCTTCGTTCTCCTTCCTCTGGCTGTAGTCCTTGCACAGGTTGCAAATGGTAAGGACGTCTATGGTCATTTTTAAGAACACGGTGAACATGGCTTGCTGAAATTCCCAAGGCACCAGAAACTCTCCTAACACTTGCGGTCGGATCTCTATCAAACTCACACAGAATCATACGGGTAAATCTGCGCTGACGAACATTTATGTTTTGATCCCTTTGGAGATTTCCAAAACCATTTTCAATTATTTGGCGATACACTCTTACAAATACTGAGCGAGTTGGATGTCGTCTGTTTGGAAATCTTCGTGCGTATTCTCTGGCTGCATCTGCTGCGTTTCCATTTACAAAGCCATACACAAAATGAATATCCGTTAACTCTTGATTGGAGAATAAAAATGGCATTTTTATAAAACTTACAAAAAAAACAGGTAAAAGAAACTAAATTTCGTGCATTCACAATTGAAAAAAAACGTTTCAGGTTTCAACAGACAACAAAACGAACTGTCAACTAATTGACGTTTAACCTTATTCTGCTTTCAATTTCAAAAATATTTGCAGGCATAGCCTACTTCTAAAAATTATCGAGATACTGACTTTTTAACGTTATTTTATCATAAATAATTAAAAATGCATCGAACCTTAAAAATCGAAATATCTCAAAACGGCTAACTATAAGGAACACTCACAGGATAGCTTTTTTATGCAGAAAAGTGCGAATAATAATATCTTTAATTCAAAAAGCAAAAAATTGCACTAAGAAAAGATTTTCGCTCATTTTAATACACTACAGGTACAGTAGAGAGCGCCCTCTAGCGGCTACAGTAAAACTATGCCCATGGTTCGTTTTGTCGTACCAAAAAAACCCTGGTATACTAATTTTTACTGTTATACATTAAATATTGTTCGAAATATTTAAAAAAAACTATTTTAGAAAGTAAATTTAAACACCCTGTATTTCGGAAGCCACGCATTTTTCGACCCATGTTTTTATAGACTTTATGCATTAATTTTAAAAGTTCTATCGAATCTTAAAGTTATGCAACAATAAACTGAAACACCCTGTAGATGAGTATTTGCTACTTCGAGAAAGAACGAATGTCCTACAAAGCGACAGGCGGCTTGTGCGGTCGTGGTTCGCCTAAAAGCAGAGATCGGCGATTAGGCTCTGGCGAGTAGGAGACTCGCCCAACAGATGGCGCTATTTGTAAAACTGTAGTGGCTGAGATGATGCCTCTGATAGATGAAATGCTACCTGCTATTTGAACGCGATCACCCATTCATTGTGTGGAAAATTTAAACAAAATCGTTTTAATAATGCCTGAAATTAGTGACATTAAAGAAGTGACATTAAAGATTTGGCGTGTTTAGATAAATCCGTAAAAACTGAACTTTTTCATTTTCAGATGTGAAAAGTTTTCGGTCCACACCGTCTAGCATTCCACTGTATAATTACGAAACATCTTGTATATAAGCTATAAAATGAAAATTTTAAAAATCAGGGCATGCTAGTTTTTTTAACAGACCTCGTACTCAATATCTGATAAAATAATGCCTAAAGTCATTCATACCTAATCCGAATAATTTTCGCACTACAGTTCGCTTTTATTCCAGTTATCACAGAAAGACATCATGATGGAGCAAACAAAAACGTTCTTGTCGAGTATCACGTCCGAAAACTTAGCTCTCCATAGACAAGTAGAAAGTCTTAACCGGGTGCTATCAGAGTCTGGTGCCGGAGACGTTTTTAAAGAAATGTCTCGTGCTCAAGAGCAGTTGGTGTACTTCCAGTCTCAGTACCATCAGGTAAAACTGCTTCTAGTTTGCGATACGATACGAATACCTTATTTCAAAAATATCAAAGAAGGTAAATTACTTCTATAGAGCGTCCCAGAGGCCGACGTTAAGCCGGAAACGGGGGAGAGGTCCTATACTACAACTATTTAAAACTGTAATGACTCATACGCGTGATCAACACGTGATCAGAGCTCGATCCCGGCTTCCTTCCAGTACAGCCGTATAGCATACGACATATGCCGTTTCTGTGGCTTTGCGGTGGTCAACAGCACAGACAGAGATGGAAATAATGGCTGATTGTTCTCCGCCGGTAGAACCAATGAAATCAAAGACGCGCCTCGACCGGCAGACTCATAGGCGTCGGCAACGCATTGGAACGTGTTTCGTTGAGCGATCGCATATTGTGTGTTTTTATAAGAATTGTTGTGTGATTGTTATTGTTGTGGTTTCTGTGGTTACTGTTTTGGTTATACTTAACCATGGAGAGTACAAATGGCACGAGTGGAAGTACTGAAAGCCAGGGAACAAGTAGACGGCTTCGTAAAGCACTGAAGAGGGACGCGAAAGAAATCGCGCTCAACGTGTCCAATTATCTGAACAGAACTATGTCGCAGAGAGATGCACTCGCGCGTTGTGAAAGTATGACAGGCGTTCCAGAGTGGACCATTCGCAGGGTGGTGCATGAAAAGAAGAAAACTGGAGCTACTACTGATCCAAAGTTTAATTTGAAGGGACGAAAGGCCGTTAAATTGGATGACGATAGCAAAATGGCGTTAAGGCGAACCGTACATTCATTCTTCTTTAGGAATGAGATACCAACCCTCAAGGCTGTACATGCAGCGATCAAGGAAAATGAAATTATACCCCAAATGAGCGTCGAGGTAATGAGGAAATCCCTGCACGAAATTAATTTTCGTTACGAAACGCGTAATCGGAAGTCAGTATTGATAGAGAGACCTGAAATAGTCGCCTGGCGTCGAAAATACCTAGGCGAAATGACAGACATGGGTAAATGCAGGTCACACAGTTAAAAAAACCTGGATAGACAAAAACGTAGTGAGTAACCGACAAGCAAGCATTGAAGGTATGTCAACAGGTCTTCGTGGACCGTCAGGGAAAGGTCAAAGATTGATCGTAACTCATATTGGTAGCGATAGTGGCTTTTTAGAAGAGTGTGACTTGATTTTCGACTCTAAGAAAGGAGGTGATTACCATGACGAAATGAATGCCAGCTGCTTCGAGAGCTGGTTTCAAGGGGTGCTTCAGCGAGTTGAGCCCAACTCTGTGATCGTCATGTATAATGCTTCCTACCATAGTCGTCGAGCCGAACGTGTACCGACTATGGGATCTCGAAAAAGTAACATGCAGCAATGGTTGCGCGAAAAAGGAATCCCGTTTCACGATTCATGTGTGAAAGCGGAATTGTATGAAAAAATTAAACAGCACAAACCTGCGAACATTAGTTACGTGACTGATGAGATGGCCCGTCAATGTGGTGTCACTGTGCTGCGGTTACCGCCCTACCACTGTGAACTGAACCCAATAGAGCTCATCTGGACTCAAGTGAAGGGTTATATTGCGCGCCATAACACAACCTTCAAATTACCAGACGTTAAGGTTTTACTTGAGACTTCCATACAGCTAGTAACGCCCGAAGCTTGGCAGAATGCTATCCGTCATGTTGTGAAGGAAGAAACAAAAATGTGGCAGCTTGACCACCACATCAACACCATCATAGAGCCAGTTATAGTCAATTTCAACGAGGAAAGCGATAGCGACAGTTTATTACTGTCAGATGTAAGTGGAAGCGACGATGAATAAAGGTAATTCCCAAATGTTTGACTTACAATATGTTTCAAACCACTCTTTATTAAGCATGTGACAAATCTAGTTCACCCATGTTAAACATTCATACCCCGCCTATGAACAGCCGACTACTGGTAGTTAAGTGATGTTCACGTGAACATCGATGAGTCATTACAGTTTTAGATAGTTATAGTATAATACATATCATATGAAATCGTGTACTTTTCAAAGTATAGGCTTTAAAGGAAATTCTGGAAAATCCATCAACGCTAACAAACCTGATAGTATAGTTAAAGATAGACGTAACTATCCCATTTGACTACAATATCACAAAGGAGGCCATAGTCTCAGTATGTATTCAAAAAAAAGTGTGTATTAACACCATAATTCTTCCCAGTTTTTCATATTGTTAAACTATTTTATTTACAGTAAAACGTGTTTTCAAAGTTAAAAATCCTACAAAATGAAGCTATAAGAATATCATTTTAAACAAATGTCCTAAGATTAAGATGTTAAAAGAACTGCGGTGTTTGAATGTAAAAAATACAGACTATTTAATTCTCATTTTCATATTCAAATTAAAAAATCATTCATTATTAACACAATCAAAAAACTTTATAAGATTAAATAACCATCACCATAACTACGAAACTAGCGTCAGTATAGATTTTCATCTGCAAAATTCTAACGGTGGCATACCTAGCAAATCTCTTTTTCAAAAGGGATTATTTGGATTTAATAAATTGAAAAATGATATTAAACAGTGTTCGAATTTAAAAATGTTTTAGGGTATAATTAAAACCCAAAATGCATAGCGATGTAATTTTAATGGACAAGATTGTAAAATTACAGAAAGTTGAGTCTAAAAAATGTCTAAAAGAGAAATTATACAAAATTGACATTAAATAATGCTAAATAAAACTTCAAAAAGCAAATAATATCCCTTCAGCTTTCAAAATGCCACCAAATGCTTTACAATACACACATTGGCATTATTTTACTTACTAAAGAGCTGAATTTAAGAATATATACTAAGTAACATATAAATCCGAACACCCAGTTTAAATGGTTTTATTTTAATAAAAGTTGGTGAATGTATTTATCTTACTGTAAATAACAAGTGAAAAAATGTTCAGCCTTATCAGTTGGACATTCCGGTTTTTATACTGCTTTTTTTTTAATTCACTAACGCTCTAAAAATAAATATTTCAGCAGCAGTAAAGAATCAACGTTGGCGGATTTTGGTTCTTGACATCCTTTACGATCGGTTACGATGCCTAGAGTACGGAGACCTGTACGATTTCTCAACTTAGTGAGTTTGATAGGGGCCGTATAGTGGGACTTCGGGAAGCTGGACTTTCTGTTCGGGCAATTGCAGTTAGAGTGCAAAGAAGTGTAGACACTGTGGTTAGGTGTTGTCAGGCATGGTTTCGAGAAGGCCGTACGCAAACAGCAAGGGGCACTGGACGCCGCCGTAGAACAACGGACCGTGAAGATCGCCGCCTAAGATTATTGGCCTTAAGGGACCGTTTCTCCACTACCAGGTCCATTGCAAATGAATGGTTTGCAGAACACGGAAGACCTATTGGCATGCGAAGTGTTTACGGACGAATGAGGAGTTTTGGCTTGTTTTCATACCGGCCACACTGGGTCCTCCCTCCCTTTAACTCGAGAACACCGACGTAATCGCCTTGAGTGGTGCAGACAACGGTCACTCTGGGATCAGGAATGGAACAGTATTGTCTTTAGTGACGAGTCTCGATTTTGTTTAGGCATGCACGATGGTCGTGCCAGGGTTAGAAGGCGACGTGGTGAAAGGAGGAATCCACAGTTTTTTGTTGAAGGACATGTTCATCACACTGTTGGAGTTATGGTTTGGGGTGCTATAGCTTATGGTTCCAGGTCACCTTTAATCTTCATCAGAGGTAACATGAATGCGCAGCGTTATATCCACGAAGTTCTAGAACCCCATCTTTTACCCTATCTTGACACCCTGGCAGATCCAACTTTCCAACAAGATAATGCCTGACCACATGTTGCAAGAGTCACAATAGACTTCTTTCAACATAATGATGTCACATTTTTACCATGGCCACCAAGATCTCCCGACTTATCCCCAATTGAGCACGTGTGGGATATGATGGGTAGGAGATTGCTCAATTTGCAACGTCCTCCTCAGACTTCGAGAGGAGTTGGTGGTTGCCTGGAATGAGATACCACAGGAGGACATTGACCACCTGATCAGAAGCATGCCTAGGCGCGTTGGAGAATGCGTAGCAGATCAGGGTGCATCCACACATTATTAAAGGTCAAAGAGCTTTAAAGCAGTGCTATCATTTTGAAATTTTTATCATTTAATTATTATGCTTCATTAAGTACTTATACAAAATTTTATTAAAATAAAACCATTTAAACTGGGTGTTCGGATTTATATGTCACTTAGTATAGTCGAAATCACGAAAGATGACGATTACGTCATCATTTTAGTCTGCACTATAGACAAACGACAGCGATTTGTGAATATATTTAATGAAGTTTCTGATATGTTAGACAGAGACAAACAAAAGATGGACGATGTTTTCATGTTGCATGATCGATCATATTTGAAAGATGAATAGCAGGTTATGTTGTTTTCGAATAATACTTTGGTCTTTGGTGTTCCTGTCTTAAGGTATTCTAAACAAACAAAACAAAAACTCCCCACTAAAATTATTATTAAGGTATCACTCAAAACCATGCAATAAAATGAAAATAAAAATAATCAGTAACATAACCTAACTTCGCAAAATGATAATATAAATTTGTTGTCGTTATGTTTCTGACGTCGTGATTTTATCATCGACGTACGTCCATTGATTACTTCAGTACAATTTCTGGTATGACGTAACAGTCATCTTTCGTGATGTTGACTATATAAACTTTACTCAAGATACTGAATGAGAAACAAGCATGGGTAAACGAAAATAAGCTCCTCAGATCAGAAAACAGGAATATAGTTCAGCAATATGAAGAGAGGTTCAGGGTAATACAGCACCAACTGAAGGAGTTTGAAGGTGCTAGTGAGGAGAATAAAATATTGAAACAAAAATTGGAACAAGAAAAGCAAACTGTTTTATGTGAGTAAAGGTGGTACTTAGACCTGAGAACATAAATAGAAGAAGCATTATAAGACGAGTAATATTTTCATATAGTATCTTTATTGCTGATACTTATACATGGTCGCTCAACGAAAAAGTCGCACCCCTATTTGTGACTTTCCTGGTATATTTTGGAAAAAACGATCGGACACGTCGAATTTGATTTTTAGAGGGACGTCATTTCATCTATAGCGGCACAATACAGGGTGATCCAAAAATAAGATATTCCATTACACTTTAGATGTTTAAATGGAAACCTGCATTTTTTAAATTTTAGATTTTCCATGACGTTTTTAGTAACTTTTGCATAATAAAGTTTATACCTATCTTCAATCGTTGTGAAGCTATTTGAGCTTAAAAATATGCCAGGAAAGTCACAAATTGCGATGCGACCTTTTCGTTGGGCCACCCTGTATATCATACAACAAAGTTTTTAAAAAGAGTTGATTTATAGAGACTAGAAAAAATCTATATAATATAAATAGGTAATAATTCCATAGGTTATGTATTATTTAACTAAGGTTTGATATAAAAATGTTAAGAGAGTTTGAAAATTTGTCTGTAATATCGTTGATATAAACTACAAACAGGATTGGCCCTAGTACTGATCCTTGAGGTACCACGCCACACCAATAATGGCTTGATATGAAATTATTTTGAGCGTTATACAGGGTGACTTCGAAGTTGAGTCATTTATTTTAACAGTGAGTAGATCTGATCAAAAGAAATGTTTTTTTCCTTTAACATTTTTGTGGTAAAATTAAAGTAACAAAGTTATAGCCCTTTAGAAGTTTGAGTACCGCCCTGTCTCAATAATAATATTACAAAAAAGCGAAAGAATTTGAAACGCTCATCACGATGTTTTTATTCAGTTGTATTTAGTCAATGTGTCAGTCGGTAACACGTGAGTGAATAGTGGTGTTTGTTGCGTCGCTCAAACGAAATAAAAAATGGCACATGTTTACGAAAATGCTGAACTTGTGGACATGATTCTTATTTACGGGGGGGCGGGGAGTCTTTACAAAATGCTGCCGCGGCATCACGGATTTATGCGGATCGGTTTCCCAATCGAGTGCAACCAACCCCTCGTGCCTTTGTTAATGTAGTAAAAAGGGCTCGTGAATCAGGTGACTTAAAACCTCACAGGGGACGGCATGCCGGTGCTCCAAGACCGCACGATCAAATACAGGTCCGAAATACTTGTCGGGAGGATACTTTATAGAACAAGGTAAAATTTTTTTTTATTTTTTTTTTATTTTTACACACATATTTTGGTTTATCTTCCTTCTACAATCATTATCTGAAAATTAATGACTCAACTTCAAAGTCACCCTGTATAGCCTAGATTTTATATCTTCTTTCGTTTTCAATTAACGCCCATCATATGACCAGAAACTTTTGCTATTTGCTATTCTAATAGAAAACGCGAATAGAAAAACCCCTGATACTATGTTGCAGCTTTGCAAAATGAAAGGATGAGGTATCTCGAAGGAAGGAACATTATCAAAACCATATTCCAACATGTGAAGGCTGAACTTAAAAGAGTCTCTGAACTCGAAGGTACCGTGGCAGATATGGGCCAGGAAGCGAAAAAATTGGCAGTAATAAATAATCAAAACCTTCAGCTCCACAAGTACTCACTAAGGTTCGTTCACAGATGATTGCCGAGTACAACAAGCAGATCGGCGATAAGCTAAAAACTGAAATCATCGAGAGAGACAAAAAGATATTGCAGCTTAGAAGCAGCGTTCAAGAACTTACTGGTATACAAATAAAGAATACCAAAGAGAAGATGTCACTTTGTTGCGAGCTGTCAGAAGTGTGTCAAATCAAAGAACATCTGAACGGTGTTCTTTCTTTGCAGATGCGGAAAAATGCTGCACTTGGAGATTCGAAAAAAGAGTTGGCACAAACAGCTAGTTCACAGGTAAAGATTCGGCTATAATTTTAACGCCCCTGGAATAATCAATTATCTGTTCGATTCTAATTATGTGAAGGTCAGATGCGGCCAAAGAGAAGGAAGGTAGTGGTGCCGCTTTCCTTCGCTGCGTATGCTCTTTGACTCGTGGGTTTGGTTAGCTACAAGGGTACTACAAGTATTTACTTTGAGGAGACCGGAACACAATTCACTATGTTTCGTCCAAATCGCTCAAGTAATTCGAGAGAAATTAAAGAAAATGAAGCATCTTCAGCGTTAACCGAAGCTCCTTCTCCCGAAATCCCTTTAAAGCTTCTAAATTTTTAACTAGAAGGAGCACTAAATATGTTATGTCCAGAGAATCGACCATTTCTTTTGATTGATTTTCTTGCGTTTTTGTAATGACAAACGTATCGATAAGCAGAATGAGAAATACAATAGCGATAGTCTCAACAGAAGAAAAAATAAGACAAGGTGTTTCTTTTTATTTTGTGCTTTGTCCGGTTAGGAGAACATTTTCTCGTGCCCATGAGAAACTGTCCGTTTAAAGGAGGTGTCCGTGTAAGAGGGGTGTGTGGGAAGAGAAATTTCACATAGAAAATAAATTTAGAAAAAAATCAACAAGGGTAAACGCTGAAAATCCGAGGTTTTAGTGTTTTCATGTCTAACTATAATGTGAATTTAACAATAGATCAAGAAATATGCAGAGCAACAAATCTCGGAAAGGACTGCGATTCGAGACCTGCTGAAAGATATCAAGCTGGTCATGGAAGAGCGAGATCAAATGACTAAGCAAAGTGAGCGGCTTCTGGAAGAGGTACTTGTTTATTATTCCGTCTTTGCTCTTATTGTGTACATGTGAATATATTTTTGCTTATAATGACTTAACTAACAACCTAAAAGTAGAAAGATTGCTATCTTTTTTTGTAGAGAATACAATTTATTATAATAAATGGTTCTTGAAGTGTAAGAAGAAAATTTTAACTTTCTCTTGCTATATTTCAAGAACCATCAACGTCAAAGATATTTTTATCTTACGTTTTTGGAACAGCTAAATGGTTCTTGAAGTATAAAAAAAAATGTTTTACAATATCTCCTTATACTGCATACTACATAAAGCATCAAGGTGTCGAAAATATATTAAGTGACATATAAATCCGGACACCCAGTTTACTTACTTACTTAATGAAGCATAATAAGTAAATGATAAAAATTTCAAAATGATAGCACTGCTTTAAAGCCCTTTGACCTTTAATAATGTGTGGATGCACCCTGATGTGCTACGCATTCTCCAACGCGCCTAGGCATGCTTCTGATCAGGTGGTCAATGTCCTCTTGTGGTATCTCATTCCGGGCAACCACCAACTCCTCTCGAAGTGCTTCTAGAGTCTGAGGAGGACGTTGCAAATTGAACAATCTCCTACCCATCATATCCCACACGTGCTCAATTGGGGATAAGCCGGGAGATCTTGGTGGCCATGGTAACAATGTGACATCATTATGTTGAAAGAAGTCTATTGTGACTCTTGCAACATGTGGTCGGGCATTATCTTGTTGGAAAGTTGGTTCTGCCAGGGTGTCAAGATAGGGTAAAAGATGGGGTTCTAGAACTTCGTGGATATAACGCTGCGCGTTCATGTTACCTCTGATGAAGATTAAAGGTGACCTGGAACCATAAGCTATAGCACCCCAAACCATAACTCCAACAGTGTGATGAACATGTCTTTCAACAAAAAACTGTGGATTCCTCCTTCCACCACGTCGCCTTCTAACCCTGGCACGACCATCGTGTATGCCTAAACAAAATCGAAACTCGTCACTAAAGACAATACTGTTCCATTCCTGATCCCAGAGTGACCGTTGTCTGCACCACTCAAGGCGATTACGTCGGTGTTCTCGAGTTAAAGGGAGGACCCAGTGTTGCCGGTATGAAAACAAGCCAAAACTTCTCATTCGTCGGTAAACACTTCGCATGCCAATAGGTCTTCCGTGTTCTGCAAACCATTCATTTGCAATGGACCTGGTAGTGGAGAAACGGTCCCTTAAGGCCAATAATCTTAGGCGGCGATCTTCACGGTCTGTTGTTCTACGGCGGCGTCCAGTGCCCCTTGCTCTTTGCGTACGGCCTTCTCGAAGCCATGCCTGACAACACCTAACCACACTGTCTACACACTAACTGCAATTGCCCGAAAAGAAAGTCCAGCTTCCCGAAGTCCCACCATACGGCCCCTATCAAACTCACTAAGTTGACGAAATCGTACAGGTCTCCGTACTCTAGGCATCGTAACCGATCGTAAAGGATGTCAACAACCAAAATCCGCCGACGTTGATTCTTTACTGCGGCTGAAATATTCAGTTTTAGAGCGTTAGTGAATTAAAAAAAGCAGTATAAAAACCGGAATGTCCAACTGATAAGGCTGAAAATTTTTTCACTTGTTATTTACAGTAAGATAAATACATTCACCAACTTTTATTAAAATAAAACCATTTAAACTGGGTGTTCGGATTTATATGTCACTTAGTATACGTAAAAGACGTTTTTTGTAGGAAAGTTTATTCTCTGCTGAAAAGGCAGTGGTGTGTAATACGCTTAGCTTCTCTAATTAGCTATTATACGCCAAAATATCATTACAATAACTCTAATCCTTAAATGTCTCATACGCTGTTGAGTATACGACAATTTTTCAAAGGAGCAAAATGAATTCAATTGCCTACAAAATATCTAATTTTGTAGGATATATGAGTATTCTTTACAGTATTTGGTTTAAAATAACGGAATATATAGATTTCAATTTTTAAAATCCAATTTAAAGAAATATATTTACTAAACAAAGATACGTCATTCGTATGTCAGTCCTCGTTGAATATTTCTAAAAAACTCTTAGTCAACGTAAGCGTTTCCACGTTTCATTGAAAAAAAAACAATTATGGACGTTTTATCCGAAAAAGCAGAAACTCAGAATATCATCACTTCTACATATGTAAGTGATTGGCATAGAAAGAATAGGTTACACTTACATATTCTCTCTTTTCATTCAAAACTAAGCTCATGTGGAATAACATCTGAATAATTTTAACCAATACTAGATCAAAGTGATGTGCGCAAAAATAAAAATAGTATTTTCCAGCATATCCAAATGCGGTTAAAGTTTGTTCGATGAATAGAGCCTCCACAATATGATATCCCAATATCCCAGCCCAAACGATAATTTTTAACTCCAATAACGACAATTTTGTATTTGCACATTACCGTTGAGAAAAAATGTACATTCATCAGTAAAACAATTATTATTTTGGATATATGGTAGGATGCCGTGCAATGGTTTCCATCATAGACTCGCAGAATTCTGTTCTTCGATCAGGGTCATCTTCAGTTAGCTGATGTACCATTTGAATTTTGTATGGGTGATACTTATTCTTTTTCAAATTGTCTCCATACAGTAGGAGGACAAACCTCACATACATTCGAGATGGAGGAAGTATATTGTTGGGGATTTACTATGATCTCACCAATTATTTCAACTTGCTTTTCTTCCGGATGGTCGGATGACCTGGGGGCTTTTTGTTGTTTATACTACCAGTAGTTGTAAATTCAGATACAAGTTCCCTTAAATATTTTCTACAGATAGCACGATTCGGGAAACGATCATTAAAAATCTTTTCGGTCTCGTGAAAGTTACGCGTCGCACTTTAAATAAAAATCGCTTCGATTGTTTCTTCCAATGGACGAGAATTGACCATTTCAAAAATAGTTCAATCAGTATCTAACACTAAAACCGAAAACTAAATAAGGATATTTTAACTGTACAATGATGTTTGTTTTCGTGCTGATATTCTTGTCACTGTCAACAAAAAATAACAAAACATGTTTTTATCGCTGTTAGTAATTATTAAATATACCATCATTTTGTAGTAGGTAAAGGTATTGACTTTATATTCTAGGGTTATAAAGTACTCGTCAGGAGCTTCAAAATGATGTGCCACAAGACCCCCGTTTTCATATAATTTGTTTCCAAGATCGCGCCCAGCGACCATCTTGACATTTTCATCTGTCAGTTATACTCTAAAGTATGGTATTTACGCATCAATTTCATTATCTCAAGTTTTAAATTTTTGAATTGATCCGTTCAAGAAATCAAAGGGGAGGGGAACATTAAAGAAAAACACTGTATGTTTCGTGTAAACTAGTAGAAGACATGTCTATATGTTTGAAATCTTGAGAGGTTATGGGCCAAACATGACGCACAGCTTTTCGCCTGTCTAGGAGAAATATATTTTTAAATATTCTGTTTTTTAGGTCTCAAAAGACAAAGTTTCAATTTTTTGTTTGTTAAATAGAACGAATATTAACTATTTGAAACCTACTTAAAGTGTCAACTAGGCTATTGATATACAGTAGGAGAAAAAGCAACAGCAAATTCAGTACCTAGTTTATGCAATTTTTTATTTCCACAGATGAGTGAGCTTAAATCGGCAAAAGAAAAGCTTAAAAAAGCGTTCGATGAAGTTCAATTGAAAAAAGATCATCTAGAATTAAGGGTACAAGATATGTCTGCAAAGATCGAGGAGGATAAGGCAAATATTTCAGGAATGCAAGAAAGGATAAATAGTGATGTTATCAAATATACAGAAACAGTAAGGAAATTAGAGAAACTACTTATTCAGGTAACTGACGTCATTCAAAGGGAAAAAATATTTGAAAATTAATGATTGATTAATCATTATTTTGTTCCTCCTAGAAACAGGCTGCCTGCGATCAACTGAAAATGGAGCGAGATGATTTGGATAACACGGTGAAATATCTTCAGAATAATACACAAAAATTGCACCAGGATCTTAACGAATCAAGAAAGAATGAAAAGGTAGTTGAGATGAGATAAAATACTTTAAGGCGTGATCTAGACATACAACTACGTACAAAAACTTCCGAGTAGTACTCATATGTAGATACTAAATTCTAGGAGCTAAAGGATGCTCTGAATAAGAGCCTGATCAAGAAAGAAGCTCTCGTAAAAGAAAAGCGAGAACTTCAGTATATGCTGACGGTCGTGAACGAAGAAAAAAACAAACTGTCGAACGAGGTCGACCAGATGAACGGAATTTGTGAAAAGGTCATCAAAGGTACGTATTTTTTTAAACATCTTAAAATTATATAAGTTACGCTATCCAAAAGTTTCTGATTTGAAGAATTGTCTGCTTGAAGGGTATGGCCCAGTGATGACGTCATATAACACCAGCTATCAGCATAATTATTTTAAAGTCATAATTCTTAATGCTATCTTTCAGATCATTGATGTATATGACAAATAATATGGGTCCTAACATACTGCCCTGTGGTATACCTACCTCCTCACAAATAAAATCTGACTTGGTCCTAATATTATGATATTATCTTTTATACCGCTACAGGTTGTTTGTTGTTTGTACGATAGGATTATCGGTAATGTAGTAGTAGTAGTAGAAATATTTATTTAGCACATTTGGCTACATAAACAGAATAATTGTAAACAACTTAGAACTAGTAAATTCAAGCCATATGGTGTATGATGTAAATGCTGGGCAATCTATAATTGTAGATTTAACAAGTGATTTCTCAATTTTACTTTAAATTTTGTCAAAGTTTTCTGGTCTTTTATCTCCGAGTATAATTTATTATATTCAATCAACCCTTGATGGAATACAGATTTGTAGCATATGTTATACTTTTTGGTCATTAAATGGAAGTCATCTTTATTTCTGATATTATGTAAATGATGGTCGACATTTGATGATGTTAAATTAGTTAGACTTGATGGAAATATATTATTTTTTACTTTATAAATGAATATCATTACAAGATATTTGATATTTTTTTTTACATTGAGCCATTTTAATTTGCTAAGCATTTGCCCACTTTACTACTAATCTTATTTATAACTTTTTCATAATGAATATCAAAAATTAATCGAGAGTCAACAAAAACACCCAGGTATTTAAAATTTTCTACGAATTCAATATCTTCACCATCAATATTCAGTTGAACATTTGTACATTGTTTTTTCCGATTAACAAGGCTTTCGTTTTACTTGCATTTAATTTTAGTCTGTGAGATGCTAACCATTTTGAGACAAGTTTCAAGTCTCAAATATCGAAAACACATAAAAACATGGCTTAAAAAAGTTCTAACAAATGAAAATGACAATAAAACATCCACGCATTTTATCGAAAGTTATAAAAGTTTTGTTACTTGTAATATGTTTTATCTGCCCCCCGGAATTAATGTTTAGAACCTTGTTCCCAAGGTTTGAAAAACATCCGATTGTTGTCTATTACTCGTATTTACCTGCTGGATTTTTTAATCCGGTGGACAGTCCATCTAGAAAGGCCCTCCTGGATGAAGTTACAGAATCATCAACCCATACTTTACTTGTAGTGTGTCCTGCGTTTACCCACGTTTCATCAAGGTAATAAATCTTCCTGTTTTGATTCCTATATTTCCCAATTTTTGTTAAATAATCCCTCCTCCATAGCACAATTTCTTCTCTATCCAGTAGTAAACTATTACGACCCCGTTTTTTCCATTTGAAATGTAAATGCTTCAGTAACGCATGGAAAGTTGATCGTTTGAAATTTGGCAACGTTGTATCTCCATTTACCTCCTGCAGTACTTTATCTATAGTAGGTATTTCATTCCTAAAGAAGAATTCATGCACTTTCCTCCTAATCGCATGCTTATCAGCTTCATCCAATGATTTAACAATACTTTTGCGATGTTTACTGGTCATTGGCTCAGAAAAGGTGTGATTTTTTTTGTATTGTCTTAACACTGATGCGCGACACACCCCAACTTTGTGAGAAACCTTCACAACAATTTCTTTGATGGTTGATGCCTCGTTCTCCTCGCGCTCGATCTTATATATATTCAAAATGACCTCTTTCATTTCTGCACTCAGGTGTCTTTTTTTAGAGCGTTTCCTAGGTGGACTACAGGAGTTTACAACTTCATCCGCAGTATCTGTACTACTGGGCATTTTGCGCAAGCAGTTGATAACAATAACAATCAATAACAAGGTATAACAATAACAACGACAAACTCAACAACTTAATAAGATAACAAACGAAAACGTCCAAAGAAATATCAAATTGCAATGATGCACACGACATACGTAACACGTCTGAACCTGAATGTGACTCTGCCTTGATACGACTGCTCTGCCGCTCGGCATAGGCATTTAATTGCGAATTGACCAATGAGGGCTCCTGTTTTACGTCGAGACGGCGGCGTTAGCGTGAAAATCACCCGAACCTTTTGTTTACACCCGGTCTATCTCTTATCTGAATATACTGTAGTTTGTTTGCAATCACCAAAGAAGTTGTTTCGGTACCGTTTTCGAATTGAACTTGATTTACACAATCATGCGGCTTCGAATTGATCAGTCTTTTTAAAGTCTTCCACATCTTTACACTGTCGCACTTGTTATTATCGATTTGTTTATCGTATAATTTCCTGTTTTCTTCTCTAATTACATATACACATTTATTCCTAAGAGTTTTATATACCTCCCAATCATCATTTGATTTTGTGAATATACATTTATTGTACTGTTTGTCTCTCAAATTTTGAGCTGCCTTAATATTCTTGTTATACCAGGGTGTATTTAATATCAGTACAATTTGTCAAATAAGGATTCGAGCAGTCATATACTTTAGAAAGGTCAAGAAATAACCCCATCGCTAAATGAAGAGCAAAAATGCAAAAACCGATCGATCCACTTTTTACGAATTTTGAGTTAGGCATGGATTTCGGTTAATTTTGATTTGCTCTATACGTTTTCAAAAGCAGAGATGAGCAAAAGCTACTAAATCCGCATGAAAAATGGAATTTCAAAAAGTTTTAAATTTGACGGGTGATTTTTCTCTAGCGGTTTTTCTCAGAACTAAAAAAATGGATTTATCGGTGTTTGCATGTTTGTTCTTCAAATGCTTATCTTCCATATGGTTCAAAATGTTTTGTGTAAATTGGAGAAGAGCTGTAATTGAAGATCGTCCTTGAATAAAGTCATGCTGATTGTTGCTAAGCAATTTATTTTTATCTATAAAACAGTTATTTGTAAACAAATCGTTTGGAGATGTTATTTAAAATACTGAGCGGCCTATAAATAATTATCAATGATAAAGAGACTCAATTCGTACATCCAAAACTGACCGATTCGATCGCCCCTTTGTCAAGTAGCTCAAAAATCGTATTAACAAAATGTCTTTGGTATCCTCATATAGTTTCCACGGTGTCCTGACATTTTGGCGTATGAATAAATGAATTGTAAAGGGTTGTCCAATAGGGACGCAGGAAAGTAAACGTCAATTTGACATAGACGCCATCTTTGTTTTCTGTCACCGACATGTCATTTTGTTAGTTGCATGTTTACCATTGATCGCTATGGAGTCGTATTCGATTGAAGACCGCATTAAAGTTATTCAAGAGCACTACAAAAATGGTGCAAAAATAAAAAACACGTTTCGCGCGCTTCGTGAACATTTCGGCCGCAACAACCGCCCAAACGAAACAACCATCGGTCGTGTGGTACGTAAATTCGAGGCAACAGGTTCTGTGGCAAATCTGCCAGGCTCTGACCGGCCAAGGAGCGTTCGCACACCGGAAAATATTGCTGTTGTGAAGGAGAGTGTGAGAGACGATCCGAAACAATCAACAACGCGTCGATCCCAAGAATTGGGCATTTCGAGAACCAGTTTGCTCCGCATTCTCCACAAGGATTTGAATGTACACGCCTACAAGATCCAATTGCCGCAAGAGCTGCGTCGGGCCGACCATTTTTCGCGCCGAACGTTCTCAGATTGGCTCCTTGAACACCGCCAAATTGATGCCAATTTTTCATCAACAATCATGTTCAGCGACGAAGCGCATTTCACTTTGAATGGGACGGTAAACAAGCAAAACTGCCGCATCTGGGCGAACGAAAATCCCCGTGAGTATCAAGAGCAGCCGATGCAACCTCAAAAAGTGACTGTGTGGTCAAAAGGCATCATCGGACGTTACTTTTTCGAAAATGCGGCCGGGGACGCCGTTACCGTCAATTCTGAGCGATATCACGTGATGATAGAGGACTATTTTTTGCCGCAACTTGAAGGAATGGATATGGACGATGTTTATTTCCAACAAGACGGTGCAACATGCCACACAACCAACGTCAATATCCATCGATTGCAGTCCTTCTACGGTGATCGCGTGATTTCGCGCAGAGGAAATGTGCCATGGCCACCAAGATCGTGCGATTTTTTATGGGGATATTTGAAAAGCAAAGTCTACGTCAACAAACCAGCCACCCTCCAAGAACTCAAAAACAACATCATTGCCGAGATAAATGCCATAGAACCGACCATGTTGCAAAATGTCATTGAAAATTTCGACCATCGCGTGGACGTCTGTAAATCCAGTCTTGGTGAACATTTGAGCGATATTATTTTTCATACATAAATGGTATGAATGAACCTTCAAAATAAAGTACCCAACTTGATTTGAATATCAATCTTTCTTGTTTTAATATGCGTTTACTTTCCTGCGTCCGTTTTGTACAATCCCATATTTGACTCTATTCTTATATTTCAGAATGTGAAGATAATCTGAAGAAATCCTTAGAAAAAGAGGAGACGTTCAGGAAGCAACTTGATGAATCGAAAACGATCGTACTGTCAAGTGTGAACGAAGGAGAACGACTTGCAAATGTACAGAAACGAGCTTGCAAACAAAAGTGTGTGTAAAACTCAAACTCACTTTAATTTCAGTTACTTTGTCAAAAACAAGATGAAATCAGGCAGCTGTACGACGAAACTGAAAATCTGAGGAAACGGGAGAGAAACCTCGCGGAGACTACAAGGTTGTTTGAGAACCAAAAGGCTCAATTTATCGACCTCACAAATAAAAACATAAAACTAGACAGCGATCTAACAGAACTAAGAAATGAATATCAAAAATTGATGGTCCATTCGGATTTGATGTCGCGAGAGTTGCAGAATTTGAAGAATCAATGTACGATGATAATGTCTCAGAAAGCAGATGAATGTCGGTGTCTCAATATGCAGATTGATGATACAGTAAGGTAAAGTTGTTTCAAAAGTAGACAACGACGTTTCGAATGATGTGGTATCTTCAATCGTCTTTAGTTCACCTGAAAAGTTGTATACAGGGTGACTTTGAAGTTGAGTCATTAATTTTCAGATAATGATTGTAGAAGGAAGATAAACCAAAATATGTGTGTAAAAATAAAAAAGAAATTAAAAAAAAATGTTACCGGCTTGTGTGTGACAAATTGGGGAACTGAGAAAATTCCAATTCCAATATTTTGCTTCATTAGTTTAACTCTGACAAGAAACGCTGATAAGATGGACTTTGTTTTAATCAAATTTAAACTGTCGCCATGTAATTGCAAATTAACCATATTAAATTTTGTAAACAAATCTGTTAAATAGGCGATGTCTGTTTTCCTCTTCATTAAATTTTCTTTTAAAATTTTATCTTTAGTATCTAGAAATTCTAAAATAGTCTCAAAAAGTGCAAAAAATCGTGTCAAACATAAGCCTTTCGACAGCCAGCGTACTTCAGTGTGAAGGAATAATTGATGAAAGTGTTCGTCATTTTCTTCACACAACTGCGCAAATAACCGTGTATTCAACGCGTTGCTTCGGATTCGGTTTACTGCATCAATGACTAAATGAAGTGATTCATGCAATCTAACACTCAAATTTTTAGTAACTAAATGTTGTCGATGGATGACGCAATGTATTGCTAACACCCCTGACACATTTTGTTTTAAATAGCTTATAAATCCACGATAACGTCGAACCATGGCAGGTGCTCCATCTGTAGCTACTCATGTTATATTTGATAAAGGAATTGCTTTTTCAATGAAATACACCTTCAAAACATGAAATATTGATTCACCTTTAGTGTCGGTTACCAAAGTTCTTGCGAAGAGCAGTTCTTCGTAGATTTCTTGATTCATAATAAAACGAACATATGCCAATAATAATGCTGCATTATCAGGTAAAGTTGAATCGTCCAGTTGAATAGAGAAATGGGTCGTTTGCAAATAATTACATAAGAAGCTTTCGATATCAGAACTCATTTCATCAATACGTCTTTCAACAGTGTTGTTGCTTAAGGGAATTCTTTTAATGGTATCAGATGCAGGTTTATGTAAAACAGTTTTTAAAACCTCTTCAACGGCTGGCAAAATTAACTTCTCTCCGATGGTCTGCGGTTTTCCGGATTTTGCTATAAGTAACGAGATATTGTAAGACGCCCGCAAACCATCATCATTTCTTTGTGACGTCGAAGCGAACATTCTGTTCAGTGTAGGTCTCTTCTGAAATTTATCTTTGAGTGTTTGAAAGTATTTCAAATCTTTCTCTGTTTTATCAGGGTGGCATCTTCTCAGATGATCTTGCAGTTTAGATGGTTTCATAGCGTCATTGCCCAAAACTTTGTTGCATAAAAGGCACATAAGCGATTGTTTGTCCGGCAATGATGGAATGAAGCCAAATTTCAAATAATCAACACTGTACTGTCTACATTTCTTTTTAGATTCGGACATGGCATCCGTCATCTGTGGGCAAAATTAAATTATTTAAATAAGACAGAAAATCCAGCAGCTGTATATTAAAAATATTTTTTGATTTTTCCGAAAATATTCCATAATTCGAACATCTTCTTGCAACAATTAGCTCGAATTACGGAGATTGCACTGTAATTATATTACCGATTGCTAAAGCTTTCAAAAAGACGCTATTGAGGAGTACTCGTGGAATTTTGCATGATTGAATATTTAACTACTAATAACTAAAGTCATTATTGGCGTAATTTATCTATCTTTGTTAACTACGAGTACAAAAGTAAAATTTAATAAAAAATAATGTACTTACTTTTCTCCAGCACTCTCAAACAAAATAACACTGACTCACTATAATTTGTGTGATATACTATCTGTTTATATTTTTTAAAATATTTTCTTAGCAGTGCAAGGTAGCGAAGCTCTGAGACTGCGACTCTCAGGTTTTTACAAGTTCAAAATGTATTGCGACCACAAAGCGAATACCAACATCCTACAACTTACACAATTTTATAAACATATATAATAAATTTTTTACTTCATAGGTACTTTTATAAATAATGTATATGTTTTGATATTATAAGATAGTATAATGTAAGTAAATAGGTACTATCAGTGTATGTGTTGAGATCCACTATCGTGGACCCCCATATTCATTTCATGAACCCCCAAATTTTTTTTCGCTGACGTAGACCCCTTGCAGGTTGTCATAGACCCCTACGGGTCGATATAGACCACTTTGGGAATCAATGTTCTAAATAATATCAATTCTTTTTGAGTGCGACAGGGTATCCAAAACTACACCATCATGATTTTATTTTCATTAACTGAAACTGAGTACCACCTATAACTCCGACTTGACCGACATACTAGATGTCTGCTGATTATCAGACACATCTTTTTAAATATTTTCGGCATGCGTTAAAGCTTCTGGTGTCTACTCTAAATGGAGGGGTACTTAAATAGGGATCTTGTGGAATCCACAGTAGACCTCCTAGCTTACTTCACGCAATTGTGGAGTAAACTCATCCAGTCTCCTGGTGAGGCTGATGCCATTGCTCTTGATATCATCATATCCTATGGTCTCCCAGAAAAGCTTTGCAGATGGGCGGCTGACTTTCTCTCTGGCCGTAAGACATCCCACAACCTCAACGCGGATGTTCCCCAGGGATCGGTCTGGCCTCCGACCCTGTTCCTTTTACATATCAACGCCCCCCCTTTCCTGTACGAACAATCCAATCCATTGCTCTGCCGATGACAGCACTCTACATGCAAAAATTCAGAGTTACACACCAATCTCTGACGTGAGATCTGGAGGTTATCACTGCCACAATCTTGTACAGCTTAATGCTTCCTAAACACAGAACTGTACCTTGAGCATTGCTCACATGCTGTCCGGAAAGACATCATGAGTTGATTCCTTGTTTCCATTTTCCCATTAGGAAATGCTCAGAGGCGCAGGAACAAAACAAGCTAGAAATAAACCAGCTAAAGTTGCAACTAGCTGACCTTACCCAAAAATTGGGAGATGAAAAATCTGCGTACTCAGCTTTGTCCCAGGTGCACAAGGAACTGTCCGCGAAGCTCATGAAGAGCGTCAAAGATGTGGTAGATGAGAAGAACGCCAGGCAAGAAGCAGAAACCGATCTAAAGGCTGCTGCACAGGCTGAAGTAGACAGATTGAAGTCAGAAAAGGTGGGTTTTGTCACTATTTTGCTTTGCTTATTTTGGATGACATGAGGGGTAGGGGAGTCTAGATGATGATTACGTCATCGGTAGTTATTTACTATTTTACACGAATGGCAACCCTCACATTGTCTTTGCTTGAAAACGAAACGCATTTTCGGGGATTCCCGCAAATAATGCATACGTTTAGTGAATAGCGCGCGGTAATTCCCCTACTCGGAAACTCCAAAAATGTTTAGGATGTTGAGAGATGGAAATCTCAACATTACGTGTATAATTTTTATAGGCCACAGATATTTGACGCTTTATCTCAAATCTAAGACGTTTGTACTGTTCATGTAGATGGTTATTGTGACTCTTTGTACTTCTTGTATAACTTTGCTTTACTCTTGACTTTCCTGATAGTTTCGCTGGTGTACCACGAAGGGTACTTATGACTAAAAGATTTATATTTGGGTACGTAAATATCAAAGATAGAGTATACAAATTTATAAAATTCAGCAATGACTAAGTTAACATCTAAGGAGTTATCTAAAAAAGAAAAGTCTGCAATGAGGAGAGCATTATACAGCTCTGAAAAAATTTGCTTTTCGGAAATTATACATGTTAATATCGCTAAATAAGGGAAATGCGTCAGGGTTAACATTAATGTTTTCAAAACACATATCAAGAGCTGGAGGATGGGAGATATCTTCAGGTACCAGTGGCTAAGTATCACGAGAAACAGAACAAGTTTCATTTGATAATATTACGTATAAATCTAACAGCCTTCCATTATCATTCAAAACAGTATTGCATTGTTTTAGGTTCAACACAGCGAGAAAACTTATTACAGCATTTTTCTTACGGTCAAAGTTACCCACAAATTGAAAATTTGGAACATTGAAATGACCTAAACAGTATCATGCTACCTGATTGGAAACATGCCACTGGTTCTAGTTCATCTACAAACTGTTCAAACACGTCATTAGTTATAGTAGGGGAAATGTCATCGTATGTCATAGAAAAACCTTGCCTTTAATTTGAAATTGTCAAGTTCCCTACCTAGTTCCCAAAATATACCAAGATAGCAACAAATGGGTGTGACCTTTTCGTTGGGCCACTCTGTATGTATAGTCAACGCCAAACAAAGTGGCGTGCACGTCATCAAGGTGGGTGTGTTGAAAAATTTACATTGTTGCCAAACTTTTTGTAAAATAATAAAATTTATTATTTACATATCTAGGTTTATAAGCAATATTAACCTCAAATGAGAACAAAAATAATAGTATAATAAAATTATAGATCTGTACTTGCATAATCATTAAGAATGACAATTATTGATCAGATGACACTATGAAACTACCATATTTAATTGATAGCTTAAAGGTACTGAATAAAAATCCAAATGGGGTCCTCCAAATTTTATGCATGGTATTTATTTTACAGAATTCATACAGAAAAATGCATTCTAAAAGTAGGTAAGCTACTGGTGTAAGCTTTTTCTGTACAATAAAGTTAGTCGGAGTTTCTTTCTTCAGCGCTGTCTGAATCTGAATCTTCATCACTCTCAAAGTTGATTATTAAAGGTTCGATGTCTGGTCGATCAAAAATTCGTTCTCTTTCATACCATTTAAAAATTTCTTGCTCAGTATGTCTAACACTATTTTTCCACATGTCTGGGGTAACCGTTTGTAGAGCCTCGTTCCACATATCCAAACAGTCTTTTTCACTGTTACCATCTCTACCAATATGTCTGTTATAGTAACCTTTTGCTATGCCCCAAATTAACTCAATAGGGTTAAATATACAATGGTAAGGAGGCAGACGAAGAACTTTGTGCCCATGTTGTTCCGCCAATTCATCAATCACGTATATTTTAGGTGGTTTGTTTCTAAAAAAGCAGTTATTTTAAGAATAGGAATAAACAAAAGAAATATAAACTGTCGACCAAAATATATATAATTAAGAAGCATTATGTACCGAGCAACAATACTCAATAGCTCTGTTTTAAACATTGTGTTTAAAAATGGTATGTTTTGATTTGTCAACCAGTCTTGGATATTTTTTTGTCCATGCATTGTTGGGCACTTTGTTCAATATCATGCTGTGATAAGGGGCGTTATCCAGTATAATCATAGATGGACTCTCCAATTTTTCTAATAACTGATGTTGAAACCATTTCAAAAAATTGTCCTGGTTCATCTCTCCATGGTAATCGCTCAATTTTGTTTTCGAAGAAAATATCGCTTCACTACCCTCAATAAACCCATTTTCATTTCCAGCATGTAATATAATGTATCTAAAATATATTAGTTTTAAATTTTATAGTGCAAATTGTGTAAAAGTACATACCTTTTACCATCTGTTTTAATAGCTTTCACGCTTTTTTGGTTTCCATTTTGCCAAGAGTGACCTATGGTCCCATTTTGAAATATCCAAGTTTCATCGAGGAAGACAAACTGGTATAAGGCCTCAACCTTGGCTTGATTGTATTGCCTTAGAATTTCCACCCTTTTCAAAGCTATACTTGGTAGTTCGATGAGCCCTCGTCGCGGATTGTCCTTAAGCCACTTAAATCCAAGATCTCTAAGCAACCGCCTTAAAGACGTGGCACTACCATCAAATAATGCCCTATCTCTTAATCGAGACCATAAAGTTTGTATCGTAACTTGTTCTTCTGAAACCATGTGTAATATGACATTATAATTTAGTTAACAAATTAATGCAAATTTCTGATAAGTTATTATAATAAGATCTTACTTTTGTGATACATATTATAGATCACTTCTCGAATGGCACTTGTATCCAATGTCGCTGTGTTGGTTACACGTTTAATATAACTCCGCTTTTTCTTGGGCGATTCTAAATTTGCATCACTTTTCACACCCTCGGAAATACGACTAACTGTCCTTAAACTAATTTTTAAAGCAGCAGCAACACGCTACAAAAAATGAAATAAAATTTCACTATTATTAATATACATTACATATAATTATTAGTAACCTACCTCTTGAACAGCATTTAAAGGCAACAAAGGCCCGTTGTTGTCCCTTTCTTGCTCAAAGTAGTGCATTAACGAGGCCACGAGTTCCTTACACCGACTATTTAACTGTTTGGGCATCTTTATATACCAAAATTGCCTTTATCTACTCGTAAAATGAATAATTTTGTTTTGAAACAAACAGTTGTTGATTTACAGTATGCGGGGCCAAAGGATTTATAAAGATTTGAAATGCCACAAATTGATTCAGTGTCAAAATTAATACAAATTTCAGTTCCCAGTTTAAATAAGTTTCAAGGTGACAATGTGTCAACGCTGCGAAATCGGTTTAGTGCGTTTACATGTCGATAAGTGATTGGAGCGTTTGCAAAACATTTTATTTCGCATAATGCGTCTAAATTTATCAGAAAGCAACTTATGTGATATTTTAATAACAATGTTTATATGACTATTAACCATAATAAGAGAGTAATGACCATTTTACAATTTATATATCACATTAATATGAAACTGCAATAGAGCAATTGTTTGTGATAGAAACCTAGGCATTAGGTCGGGGAATTTTTATCGTGATGACGTGCACGCCACTTTGTTTGGCGTTGACTATAATTGTGTTACAGTTTGGTTTTAAGCTTTATCGTTAAGAATGATTATTCGTATTCATCTATGTATCTACTTCTAAGGAAACCTGCAACGCTAATCAATGCCAATGGTCTTGTAATTTTAGATGGACTTACAGCAACAAGTCAACATTTTACTTGACGGTTTGAACGACAGCAAAAATCGAATCAATACTTTGACTCAAGAAAAAGGAAATGCTCAGTTCTCATTGGATGATCTTCAGAAACGTTACAGTGATATGCTTAAGAAATGTCTAATTTTGGAAAACGAGGTATGTCAATCAATTTATACCATATTCTAGCGTTTCAAATAATGGTAAAAAAAGGTACTTTACACTTACAATAAACTTGATCGCGTATAGGAAACTTTGGTATTCGGATATTGTCGAGCTTATGTGTTCCAAACTTACATCGTCGTTTTTATATTTTACTACCTACTTGATTGTTTTTAAAATCAAAATGTTCGCAATTTTGGCATTTTTGTCCGAAATTCGCCTATTTTCCAGTATTTATTGCTTCAAATTTATAATAAAACACTCTAAAACACAAAACGTATACAGTCCGTCCTGAAAATTAGTATTTTCTTTTTCAGAAACAACAAAATCCTAAATAACAAAGTTAATTTTCAGTAAGACACTACCGAAAACTTAAAAAATAAATTGAAGAAAAATACTACATATTTATTTTGTGCAATATTTCAAGTATATACTGCCCTGTTAGATGTTTTGATTGTGATTACTGCTCGATTCAAAAACACGAGTTTGTGTATTTCTTCCTACATTTGCAACATTTGGAGCTGTCTAGGTTTTGAATTGTGTACGATATGAGCAAACATATACAGCCCTGATATAAAGAAACATCGAGGATGACGGCGACGCTCTGATTCACTGGACAACAAATTTTAGTTTTTTAATTGTATCTTGTGGGAAAAGTGCACTTCTTTGTTAATTTTGGGGCGCTGAATCCAAAAATGACAATGAAATAAAAAAATTAGTTGCGGTTTAGAAAAAAAACTTTTAATTTTTAAGGATATATTAAAAAAAGTAACAAGATTCATATACTTATAAGAATCACTATTTTTGCTGTTCTTTTATGGATCGTTTCTGGAGCATCTCTACCAAGAGTCCAACAGTAGTCTGCAAGCATGGAAGGATTCCACTTTCCCTGGTACCTTTTTTCCATTGTTGAAATATCCTGATGAAAACGTTCGCCGTGCTCATCGCTTACGGCTCCGCAATTGTCAGGAAAAAAGTCCAGGTGTGAGTGTAGGAAATGTATCTTAAGAGACATATTACAGCCCATCTTTTGATACGATGACAGCATATTTTTGTCAAGGGTTTTATAGTTGTCAGCTTTTCTATTTCCCAAGAAATTAGTGACCACCAGACGGAAATCATTCCAATACCAGTTAAAGTGTTTTCAAACTGTGTATCTTTCAAAATATTTCGAATCTGTGGCCCAACAAAAATACCTTCTTTAACCTTTGCCTGACTTAGTCTTGGAAATTTCTGACGCAGGTATTGAAAAGCTGACCCATCTCTATCTAATGCCTTGACAAAGTTTTTCATTAGGCCCAACTTGATATGCAGTGGTGGTAATAAAATTTTTTTCGAATCTACTAATGGCATATGCTCTACATTTTTTTGACCTGGCTCTAGGAATTGACGAACAGGCCAGTTTTGTCTGGTGTAATGAAGTGCCTTTGCCCGACTGTCCCATTCACACAAAAAACAGCAAAACTTTGTGTAGCCTAGCTGCAGCCCAAGTAAAAGTGCAACAACTTTCAAATCGCCACAAATATGCCATTGGTACTCATCGTATTTTATGCATGTCAATAGGTACTTCATATTGTCATATGATTCTTTCATGTGAACTGCATACCCTACAGGAAGAGATGGTAAAATATTTCCAATATGCAATAACACTGCCTTTAAACTCAATGTTGAACTGTCTATAAACAATCTCCATTCTTCTGGGTTATAGTTTATATTTAAAGCCGCCAGTAAGCCGTTAATGTTACTGCAGAAAACCAAGTTATTCTCCATATTGAAAAATGGTTCTAAGTCTTTGTGGCGTTTACGAAAAACACATACCGAAACATCGTCTTCTAACAAGTTCCACTCCTGCAGTCTTGATCCAAGTATCTCTGCCTTACATTTTGGAAATTCTAAATCTCTTACAAGATCATTTAATTCTGACTGTGTAATTTTGTGCGGTTGGTGGCATGACGTGCTCGGTATAAAATCAGGATCTCTTGACGTTGACGGCATATCTTCTTCCTGACGAATCACTCGATCGCCATGATCTGATTCGTTTTCTGATTCGTAAGTGTAGGATTCTGGGGGTTTTGGAATAGGATTTTCGTCACTGTGAGGCACAGGTCTCATCGCAGATGGTATGTTTGGGTAGTTAATAACCGATTTTTTTTTCTTGGACATACCTGTGGCTTGTCCAACACAAGGTACCATGCAAAAGTAACAATCATTAATATGATTTGTAGGCTCTCTCCAAACCATTGGGACAGCAAAGCGCATAGACCGTTTTTTGCCATTTAACCAGATCCTCAAACTTGAAGCACATGTAGTACAGCAGATGTGGGGTGCCCACTCTTTGTCTTGATCACCTAGTTTACAACCGAAATAAAGCTGATATGCCTTTGTTATTGGTGGAGTAATAGACCGTCTCTGAGACGCAAAAGTCACATCACCACACACGTAACAAAACTGATCTGGATTGTTTACACACTTTCGAGACAGCTTGCATGAACGCTGTCAGCCAACTGAGGAAAAAATGGCTAATATAAAACAATATAATGTACACGTATGTATAACGTAACACAATCATGCCGATTACATCATCTTTCCTTGCCGAATATAAAAATGTAGCACGTGAATTCTTGTGAATTGCAGTATATTAACACTGTCACAGCAGGAACACATATAATTACCGTATCTCTAAAACTTGAGCTAATATTGAAAAAAATAAGTTTCATTCCGGTTTTAGCACATTAAAAATAGTAATATTTTGTTGATTTTATTTAGGATATTTTTTGACTGTTGATCAGTGTTACCCGACTACACTCGCAAAGTATCAATAGGATACTGAAGGCACTATAAACTAACATCAATAAATGCGGTTTGTTCATAAACTAGGTTAACCTCCACACCGCGCGGCGCCTGATTTGGATACTGACTCACATAGTCATAGCACCACAAAACATCATACTCTGTCGTAGGAGAGGAGGGAGACAGGGCCGGAATGGCTCATTTGGAATTTTTCAGAACTTAATATCTCGCTTATCTTAAGTCTTTGGTTTACGTGCTATTAGTAGAACTGGCCTTTACGCTCTGTAAAGAAAGTACCAACTGCGAGCACACCCTGTATGAAATTTAAACTGTAAAAATCGGACGATATCAGAGTGTCCATCTACATCACTCTTAGGCCCGTATCGTCAGTCGTCCCTACAATTGTAGGGCGCGTTTATGGCCTCCTTGATTGTCATCCTCCTTTCTCTCCTTCAAAAATTTCTAGATTACACTTGTCCCGTGTCAGCGTCAGCGCTCTCCTATTGTGAAGATATGTTTTCTTTTTAAATTGTAGGAAATTTCAGGCTGATAAAACATGATATAACTCAAAAGCAAGCACAATTTGATTCAAATAGATGTTTGTGACTTAACCTCAAAATATAGTTCTGACACGGAGAAGCAGAAAACTATGACAATCAAGGAGGCCATAAAGGCGCCCTACAATTGTAGGGACGACTGACGATACGGGCCTAAAGTAGGAGATAGGATGTCTTGAACTTAAACTATTTATTGTTTATCTTTAACGATGTTTTTGCAGGTGAGGTGTGCGGAACATCACAACAATTGCGAAACGAGTCACGCAACACTGAGGGTAAATAAACAATTGAATCGATTTTAGTTATTTCTTGAAACAATTGACATTCGTTGACAGGACCAGGTGGAACAGTTGAAGGAAGGCTTCCAAGAAAACAACGACACGATAGTTTCTTTGAAGCAGGACATCAACAAGTTGGTGCAGCAAATTACGACACTCGAGTTCCAAAAGTAAGTTCGAATGCTAAGAACTTCAAAAAATGATACGATTTAGAGACGCCTGGCCTAGCAGGTATAAAAAGTTGCGTAAATCAGGTAAAACAGATGCCCCAAAGAAATCATTGCGTTGGTATATCTGTGGAAACAGACGCATGAATGCCAGACGCTCGCCGATAAATAAAATCACGTCAAGTGGACTAACTCTAAAATTCCCATCAAAAAGCCGTATGTGATTTACACTCCAAGCATATATGGATAATATCGCGCGCTCCTCGTATGTGCATACTGTTCCCTCGGATCCAATAAGCCGCATAAAATATGCTGTTTTGAAATTTCATAGGTCTGAAGTCACTTTGAGATTGCATGAAATGCAAAAGAAGTACGAGACAGAGCAAAAGGTGTGCGATCAGCTACAAACCAAGCATAAAATGGTCCTGGAATCTTTGATAAAGATGAAAGAAGATGGAAGAATGGACGCAAGCGAGTGTAACTGTTTGATGAAGATTGTGCAAGGCAACGATCCATCTGTTACATCGGACGTCGATTCTGATCTAGTGACGATCTAAATACTATTTTGAACGACATCTGGAATGAATATAACTCTATCCAATCTGAAAAACTGTATTTTTATTCTACAACCTTGCCTGCATGTTGCATGATTTCGCTCACTGCATCCCTAGAGTTCTGAAAGCTTTGAGCAAGTTTTGTGCTGAAGACTCAAATTTATCAACTTGCTTTAGCTATACACGTCAGATAGTGTGCTTTTTTCTCAAAATTTGAATAGGCAATCAAAAAAAGTACTCACCAAATATCAGTTAAAAGCCTAAAAGTGGCACCTGTCCTCGAAAGCGTCAACCACTGTAACGAACTCTCTAAAGCGATGGTAAAACATAGTAGGCGACTTCTCTGGATTAGTTTATTTAAGCAAGACTCCTGTAGATGGCGCGCCCGGCAGTATGTTGCCACTGTTACAAATTTTTATGACAAGCCAGGATTTTCAAAGTTTATACGATTTGCAGTGGAGACATCATGGAATGTTACCAATTATTTTGGGTTATTTGCCTATTTTGACTAAGTAACGCATTAATATACATATATTGTACAGTTTTTTCATCTTCATTAGGAAAATTTTCTCTATTTGAAGGATAACGTGACAACGCTGCACATGGCGCGCTACAATCCCACATAACCTCACAAAAAGTAAACAATAAAAAGCATCTGACTATAAACAAATGGACATTGAACGAATTTTAACGGTTGAAAAATGGATTTTCTCACTTCTGAGCAGCTACGTCAGTACCAAGATATAATAGACCAGATAAACAGTGCATTTGCTGAAAAAGATCGCTTGAAAAAAGAACTAGACACGATAAACAACAAAATAATCCTTCAAAACCTTACAACCTCTAGAGCTGTAGACAAAATAGCGCATGTGATATTAAGGATATTTTCTAAGGCCAGCGATGTCTTGAAATTGTATGAGGATGAAATATCTAGTGACACTATGTTCAACTCAGAAAATTGCAAGTATTATATAGTAGAAGTCTATTTAACAAACGCTGTGCTGCAAAAGCTTTGTGTTGAGGAGTGGCTCTTGAATATCAGTATTTCTTACAAAAATACATTCATAAGTAAAACTGTAAATCTAAGAAGTACTGTCCCAATAATTGAATTAATTCCCATAGATGAAAACATCATTGAATCTACTTTACAAGTAACATTACTGCCAAAGGATAATAAACAAAGTATTGTAAACTTAGATAAACAGCATATCGATATCTCTTATCATTTTGAAATGTACAAGAAAAACAGACAAAAAACTACTGTGATTCAAAAAATTTTGCAAATAGGTAAATTATACAATGAGAATAATGAACTACGAAAGCTACTCAATGAAAAACAAGAATTTTATCTAGAATGTCAAGCTAAGACCTCTGAATTTAAAAGAGAATTTTTGAACAGATGTTATCATAACATAGGAATTGAACAGTTCTCAAATTTTGAAGATAACTCCAATGATTTTAATATTCAGTTCACATGCAAGTATAGTAAAGCAGAAATGATAGTTGCACCACATGAAGTGAGAGTTAGATGCAATATTATTGATTTGAGCTTGTTGAAAATTTATTTTTATTCTTTATTGAGGAAATATAAAAAAGCATGCGTAACAGAGGACAAACTCCAAGAGATTGCAAAGGTTTGTGATGTTTTATTGATTTTTATCTTGAAAGTGTTCTACCAATATAAAGAGGTCCAGTGGTGCAGTGCCTTTTTGCTAAATAGCAGTAGCTGTGGAATATTTTGACAGTTTACAACATTAACAAACTATTAAATTTGACAGCCAAGTGAAAACTGCCTCCTTGATTTGCATAGAATTTTCTCTCATTGAGAAAGGCTGGGGTATTTCTAGATTTCTACTGTTCCATGTGGGCATCAGTGCTCTTCTATTGTGAGGTTAGGTTTTCTTTTTGAATTGTAGGAAATTTGAGGCTGATATAATAGTTGATATAAATCAAAAGCATGAGCAATTGATGAAAATAGATATTTGTACCATAACCTCAAAATAGAGCGCTGACACGGAACAGTAAAAAACTATGAAAATCAAGAAGCCCTTAAGCTATTCCATGGATACTACTGCATAAAAGCACTGCACTGCTTTATGCTTGCTAAATGTGCTCATGCATATATGCCAGTTTTATTCATAGATTTCAATTACTAGGTTCAATAACGTCAATATCTAATTTTGACCTTTATTATGACTCATTGTTGATATTTACATACTGATATATCGGTAAACATATGGTATTTGGGATTGCAACGTTTTGCCAAGAAAAATCTTGAGCACAAATTGTAGAAATGAAACATTCAAATGGGGACACTAAAAAATGGTATAATCGCATAAAAGAAGCACGTTTTTGGTGCTTCCTGAGTATTGTTCGTACATACGCGACAATTTCGTGATTTGATTTTGATCAGTGCATAGAAAATCAAGAATTGATAGTTTCAAACGAGCGCGATTTGGACTGGAACATAACATAATATCAGCAGATACCATTTTGCCAGTGGTCAGTATCTTTGTGAATTTCAATGGTATATTACTGCAACTCTTGTGAGAAATAACGATTATGAATACAAAAGTCATGGATCACATACAGTAATACAGGGTGGGCCATTAAGTTGAGCGAATTTTATAAGATCATAAAAAAACTACAGAGCATATTTAATACAATAGATACATGAGAATTTTTTTTAAATAACATCATTGAGATGTGAGCCATCGAGACTTCAAATTCGTGAAAACTCGCTGGCACATCACTCGTGGGATAGCGGACATGTCCTCAGAAATGTTGTGCTAGAACTGGGCAATCGTCGTCGGTTTATTGGTGTAAACGCGGCTCTTGAGGTATCTCCAGAGCAAATAATCTATTGGCGTGAGATCTGGACTCCGGAGATAAATAAGCTATTTTTCTTAGTTGACTGTGAAGACCCAAATACCATACATTCACCCATTTTATGCAGCTTTTTTTAAGGTATTACTATTTTTTCAGATGAAATCCATAGCGGAAAACTCTAATGTGAATGAAATTTATTCATCCCTACAAAAATTTCGTTCTAAATTGTTTTGATAGTTTTTGTAACTTTGCAAAATATATAATATTTTTCTATTCTATGAACTTTCCATTTATTCGACATCGTCCTTAATACCGGAAATTTTCCAAACCTGGTTCAGCTACTTTTATATCAGTACAATTTTTAATGCACCAAGTTTTATCGCCTTAAATCTTTTGACATTAATACTAAGGAGAACATTTTTGAAAAAAAAATTTTTGAATAGTGCAGATTTTGTATGGGAAGTGCACTTGAATAGGAAGGGTCTGTTAGCAACTTTGTGTATGTCCAGGGAAACCTTGTGAAACATGTCTAATATAACATCAAAAATTGAGATATACGCTTCCTTACTTCCTACAATCCCCAACCCACCAATCTTTAACTCCTACAATTTTTTTCTGAACATAATCAGGAGCTTCTGAAACGTTTTGTAAACTTGTGTCCAACAACAATAATATTCCATATTTCTAACAAATCTAAAAATTCAAATTTGACTATGCTTTTCCAAAATGTTCGTGAAATTCTGTAACTTGAATTCAAAACGTGAAATATAGTCAAAATCACGAAAGATGACTTACGTCATTCCCTAAATTGTACTGAAGTAATCAATGGACGTACATCGATGACAAAATCACGATGTCAGGAACATAATGACAACAAATTTATATTATGATTTTGCGAAGTTAGGATATTTCACTGATTATTTCTGATTCACTGATAATTTTAGTGGAGAGCTTTTGTTTTGAAAAAAACAGTAATGAGTAGAATACCTTAAGACAGGAACACCAAAGAACAAAGTATTATTCGGAAACAACAGAACCTGCTTTAACATAACCTAACTATTGATCTTTCAAATATGATCGATCATGCAACATGAAAACATCTTTGTCGGATACATGCAAATTAGCAATACAGTTTGTTTATACAATAAAATTCTGTTTGTCTCTGTCTAACATATGAGAAACTTCATTAAATATGTTCACAAATCGCTGTCGTTTGTCTTTACTACAGACTGAAACGATGACGTAATCGTCATCTTTCGTGATTTCGACTATAGTTGAAGTTAACTATTCCACTGCACACTTTCACGCCCATTTATAGCGTGACTATAGACTGATATTGCTTTGAATGGTCTAATAAAGAATTATCGCTCTAGATGTAACATGTAATTGGAGACTGAGCGGTTAATACAATTTAAAAAGGAAGCTTCATAAATGCTTCTATAAATTGTATTAATACGCCCACGGGTCACGTCGATTTATCAAATGCCGTCACCAGTAAAACTCTCTGATAAACATAAAAGCGCTTCATCATGTCGTACACATAGGTAATTACTGAATATTTTATGGACAAGTCACTATCTAGTTGTTCAGTTTTGTAAGGTTATTGACCATGCCCAAGCGGTCCATCTTTGCTTCAATCCGGCACGGGTATTACGTATCTTGAAAAGTGACATTATGCCGATTTTTTTGACATTCTGCTGGTTTTTTGACATCATGTAGGTTTTTCTACAAGATATTAACTTAGTACTTAGTTGTACGTGTTGTCTAAACATCACGAAGCTTGTTATCAATCTTTGGCTCTGATGTGATGTAAAATCTGCTTCCGAGATGGCATTACTGGAGGTCTAAGCTGTAAGTTGTATGTCTTGATGATGATTACATTGGGTTCTTGTCTCAAATACACTTAATAGAGATTCAAAGCTAGAAATTAGTTGCGCATCCACTTTTTCTTATCTATTCTGAAAATTACATATACAAATTTGCTGAATTTCAAAAACGAGAGAGCTAAGAAATAATTTATTATATTCACTGTACACTGTCGAATTACAAGCCATATATAGTCGAAATCACGAAAGATGACGATTACATCATCATTTTATTCTGTAGTAAAGACAAACGACAGCCATTTGTGAATATTTTTAAATGAAGGTTCAGATATGTTAGACAGAGACAAACAAAATTTTATTGTCTAAACAAGTAGTATTGCTGAATTGCATGTATCCGATAAAGACAGACGATTTTTGCATGTTTCATGATCGATCACATTTGAAAGATGACAAGTGAGGTTATGTCATGTCAGCGTGTTGACACTTCGTTGCAGGTTAGGTTGTTTTAGAACAACACTTTGGTCGTTGGTGTTCCTGTCTTGAGGTGTATTCTGTTGTGTGTATAACTGTTTTTTTTTCAAAACAAAAACTCCTCATAAAAATTATTATTAAGGTAGAAACTAAATAATTTCCGACATAAGAGCATCATTTAATATTGTACATGCTAACAGTAATTACACACAACGCGGACGCGGTGATGATTTCCCGTAATTCTCCTCAGTTTTTCGTAATTTATAAGTTTGAACATAACCTCTCGTCAGAAAGCACAACATAAAAATTAACCCGTCGGGCACAGCTAATAGATATACATACTTCATTGGCAGCATATTCAGTAATGATTTTCTCACACATCAAATATCACTAATTTTATAGACATGTTGCAGACCAATACAAATAATCATCCAGATGCGATCTTGCTATTCAACCAACTTTCTTCTCAGAGATAAAAACTACAGACAAGGACCATTTTGCCTCACAAAACGTATGCAACCAACAATGCGTGTAGTTTAGTTGAGTGATTCCTCCATAGATGGACGTTCACAACGATCCTAGTGAGCAAACGTGGAATGACTGTTTGAGCCCTAAAAACTACCTAGTTTGCTAGATGACATTTTATAGGTTTTTTTTTGACGTTTTATAGTTGTTTCACATGATACCCATGCCGGTATTACGTATCTTGAAAATTGACATTATGTCGATTTTTTTTTGATATTGCATTGTTTTTCAAACCTTGTGTGACGATTTAATCAAAATTTTAGCGGTATTTCTCAAGATATAATATCTCAGTTTTGAAGTTTTTACGATTACAATACTTTCTCGGCAGTTTTGGTATAGGAAGTAAAATGTTGACGAAACTTTAAAATGAAGATGTTCAATATTTGCGTTAACTTGAAATTTGAGTTATTTTGGGTACCGAAAAGCTCGCAATAAACCCTCCCACTTTGCTTTATAACGTTCCAAGATATTGTTTCCTTAAATGTGTATTTATCTGGAAAGCGAAAATGCCTAGTACTTGCGAACGGAAGTACATCCATGCACATTACCTGCACGGAGATATATCCTACCCTTTTACAATATTAAAAAAAATAACCGCCATTATCTGGCTCAGACAGCATAACTTCACTGACCATATGATCGGCCGCCTCGGATATCATGCATGGCTAACTCGATGTGCCTGTAAAATTTTAAAATAACCCCTCGCGCGCAGTTGGCGTTGAACTCCGGCGGTCGAGCGATCGTCATTTTTTCGCTCCCGCGCTTTTCTATTCGCCACCTACCGTTGCGGCCCGGCGCGAAGTTCGTTTGTTTTTTCTTGTACTTAGCCTGCTGGATCTCAGATTGCGAGGATGGATAGATTGGGAGTTGCTCTGCTAGCTGTGAGCTTGGCGAGTTTCGGTAAGTTTTGGCGGTGGCGATTTTGACGCAAAGTGAAGGATTTGAGATATTACCAGTGCAATAGGAGGAGATTAATTTTGGCGGCACAAATACAGATATACTGAGTGATTAAATACACCTGAAACTGGGAATTTATTAACTTTCTTGTTAAACATTCCAAAAGATTATTATAACATTGCCGCAGTATCGTTTTTATGCAAGTTTCATACGGTCGGTTTTACCTCCCACTGCATTGACGAGGATGTATTGAAATCGAGACAAATTTAGAAAATCATATCGCTCAATTCCATCGGTCGGTTTGTCTGCTAATCTTCAACCGTTTCATAAATTCGAAGGGATTTTATTGAAATTTTGACATAAGGTTGCTTCGTAGCGTTTGAAAAATGTTCCAGTGGTGTAGGTAGACGTGAAAAACGGAAGAAAAATAAATATCACTCAACCGTCGTTTTTTGACATTTCAGAGGCTCCTGCTCACTTGGAAATTTTTTTGAAGGGAAAAAATTGGGGGTGGCGGAGGATATATCTCAATTTTTCGACATTTATACCCTTCCATTCCTTCAGGGGTACTACGTAACTTGAAAAGTGACAGTATGTCATTTGTTGACATATGTATAGGTTTTTTGTGACATTTTATCTTATTTTTGGATCACCCTGTATAGTATTTTCCCCTAGAAATCAAAATCGATCATTTTCCCAAAAATATACCAAGAGAGTTGTAAATAGCTAGTCAAATGAGAAATGTTGGCACAAGTTGATACAAAAATAACACGTGTTGTCAGTTTAAGGTCGGTAAATATTATTGGATAAGTATTATTGATCCTCGAAGTTTATTTCGGAAATTTTGTTTATGGTTAAGCCCCTCCGCAGCAATCAAGCAATATCCTTGTTGATTGACTACAAGGTATAATATTTTATGATCTTGAGAATGCAATTCATAGATATCAAAACACTGTATCAATAAATTGATTCAAACATATTGACTCAGTATTGACGTAAATCTGACATCGTTGGTATCAAAGAAGGAGAGAATGGTAAGTAGTAAGGTCTTTTAACTAATTTCGGTATCAAAGGCAGTGTAGTTTACGTTAAGCGAATACTAAAGTTACATTTGCTAGGTAGCGATTGGTTTTTCTACAAATACTTAACTTAATATTATTAAATCCACTGCCTATGGTTGAACTGAGCCGATTACAGAAATAAGCAAAAGAAGACCAAAAAAATGTTGCCACGACTTTTTTATAAACAAGAGGAAATTGTGGTGTGATTCCTCTGATCCTTTTTATTATTACACATATCATCTTGTAAAAGTACCTCAAAGGCAAGAAAAGATAAAAATGTACTAAAGTTATATTCCCCAGAAAGTTAGCCCTTGTTCTAAAATAAAGTTATGGCAGTTCAAAAATCAAAATCATGAACAATGTAATGTAATAAGCCCAAAAGAAGGTAGGCACTGCCACATATTTGAATACGGAAAATGCCAAACAAAATCAAGAACACTCTAAGAATTTCAGTCAGCAACAATCAATATATCAATATCTATGAAATACCCAATTAAAATGATATTTTACCTGTTCACATCAGGGTTTTCTGCCAAGAGGAAGGGGTAACTTCCAATAGAATCGGCTGCAAAACAGCTACAAAACAAAGCTGGAGGGGTGTGAATGGTGATTCTCCGCAATCCCTGTCCACTATAAGGAATATTGAACAAACTTCTTCAGAACATGCTTAATGGACGTGGCCCGATGGTATACCAAAGATAACTTATCGCTGAAGGTTGAAATCCCATTAGAAAATGGACGGGGTAGCACCCAAACCAACAAAACTAAACGTAAGAAACAGAATGACAGGATGCTACTCCACAAACTGGTGTTTTGGGCGTTGATATCCCAGAATCTGGAAGTTAACGAAACAACGCCCACACACAACCAAACCTCAGCAGAAAGAGAAGAAAAATGTCAAGTCATGAGGCATCGTTGTTTTCAAATTTTCTTACTCCCTTGCTAAAATGCATGGCTACATCAAAAAGTGATCGTATTCGAGGAGGTCGAAAAACAAATTTCTGAAAATAGTTTATTGCTCCAATTGGAAACTCAAAAACTAAACTAAAAAACGAAGTTCGTGAACGTTCGGATATTTTTTTGTTTTTGCTTATAACTCCATCACTAAAGAATAGTTGTTCACAACCTTGAAAACAAAGGACGAACGCCTTCCATGAAAGTAATCTTTTCTCAAAGTATCATTAACATTAACATCCAATACTGCCGAAAATACGAAACGAAAATCAGTGACGTAATTCTTTGCATCCAAAAACCAGGATCTTTTTGATTTTTACAATCACAATACTTCCTCGTTTGTAATGAAAAGAAAACGTAGAAGGGCTTTTCATAAAAAAAAAACATACGTTGTCTCCCACTTTAACCGTGATATACGAGTATAATCTGTGGGTGTTATGGTACCGGTGCCCTTTAAATTTTAACAGGAAATCCCACCTGCTGTGTATACGCCACCTGTCTTGTTCACATGACCGTTAGGGTAACTAGGCCTTCTAATTCATTATTGCTACCACAAGTTTTCATTATTTCACAGTTTGAAATAATAAGAGCATTAGACATTTTTGTTAAACCTGTAGGCTGTAAATAGATAGGTCAAGTGAGATACAATATACAGGGTGTGCGCAAAGTTGGGGTTTTCCTTTACACGACGTGTAGATCTTGAAAGCATATACACCAATGTCTTAAGGGAACCGAGATAAAGGGCTCTGCAACATCAAAAACATCTGAATACAGTCCTGTAGCCGTGACATCCCCGAGTGGTTCTAGGACACTAGCTCAACCCGAGGACAGAACTGGGTCGCGGTCAGTGTGTCAGGTCAGTATGCAACCTTCAACCGACGGTTACGGTCACGCGTGTAGAGATAATCGCGTAGACGTGAATCCCTCAACAAGCACTAGAGACGTGGCTAGAGAGGTGCAAGTATCAAAAACTAAAGTGTGGCAAACGCTGCGTGAAGAGGGGCTGTATCCGTTTCACGTCCAACGTGTACAAGCCCTCCAACCTGACGATTTTCCAGCAAGATTGCGGTTTTGTGAGTGGTTGTTGCATCAATAATCCGGACTTTTTGAAGTGCATATTGGTGACAGACGAATCTACGTTCACGCGTAATGGGGTGAATAACTTTCGCAACACTCATGTTTGGTCAGTAGAAAATCCGCACGCTGTCCGTCGCACACATTTTCAACAAACATTTTCGGCATGGTGAACCTAGACCTAGACTTTTTACGCAACATTTTGCCTTCCTTGTTTGCCTGCGTCTGCTCGGTAGCGCATCAGCTGATGTCATTTTCTGTTGGAGCGGTATGATTTCTGGCAGAGACGTACTTAGCCCTTCTCGTCAACTGGAGAGTGAGTACTTTTTCCTTTATTTTTTTTACTTGGTCGCCCTCGTTTCACTACACATTACCTTTGTTATGTCAAGGGTAGTTGTTTCTGAAAAGGAAAACCCCAACTTTGCGGACACCCTGTATAGTATACTAAAGTCAACAGGTTTACGATAAAATTGCGATCTATGTATATGGGATAATAGTCTAGATAGTAAAGATATATTGCTGTTACAGTCAAGATGATATTGGTTTTAAACACATCTCGACAGGAGTCATCATAGTTAAGGTTGAGTATAAGCCTCAGTATTCTTTTTTTATGCATAAATATCTACTCTTGGTATCTCTGTCGTCTACCCCCATACCACAATGTTATATGCAATAGAAGAATACACAAATGCATAGTACATCGTTCAAAGTATCATAGTTAATCGCTGTTGTTTTTTAATGAATTTAATACAAAGAAGTTCTATTTAATTTTTTAGAGAATGCCTCAATTTATTGATCCCATGTAAGGTCACTGTCAGGGTGGTTCCTAGAAAAAACGGCACTTGATTCCTCCCAAGTTTCTATGTTGTTAACATTCATTTTGAAAGGAAAGCGTGTTTTCGTTTATATATATATATATATATAATGGGTGATTTTTTTGCTAGTATCTTTTTGGCAACACTGTTTTTGACAGATGACGCGTGAATCGTGTCTTGTGTCATTGTCAAGCTTGTTCAGTTTGGTCTATAATTTAACCATGAATCGACTTACGAACGAACAACGCTTGCAAATTATTGAATTTTACTATCAAAATTCATGCTCGGTTAAGAGAGTGCATCGAGCACTGCTTCCAATTTATGGGCAATTTGGTCGGCCTACTGAGGGAGCTATTCGGAGGCTTGTGACTAAATTTCGAACCCAGTTTACATTATTGGACATTAAGCCAGAGTGAGGACTGAAGAAAATATTGCGGCTGTATCCGCCAGTGTTAGTGATGACCGTGAAATGTCGATTCGCCGCCGTTGGCAGCAATTGGGCCTCTGTTACTCCACTACGTGGAAAATTTTGCGACAGGATTTGGGTGTAAAACCTTATAAGATACAGCTGGTGCAAGAATTGAAGCCACACGACCTCCCACGACGTTTCCCATTTGGTGAATGGGCGCTGGCAAAGTTGGAGGAAGATCCACATTTTTATCGAAAAATTGTGTTCAGCGACGAAGCTCATTTCTGGTTGAATGGGTACGTTAACAAGCAAAATTGCCGCATCTGGAGTGAAGACCAGCCAGAAGCATTGCAAGAGCTACCAATGCATCCCGAAAAAATCACTGTTTGGTGTGGATTATGGGCCGGTGGCATCATCTAGTCGTACTTCTTCAAAGACGACAATGGCCGTAACTGTGAATGGCGAGCGCTACCGTGCGATGATAACAAAGTTTTTTCTGCCCAAAATGGAAGAGCTGGACTTGGCTGACATGTGGTTTCAACAAGGCGGTGCCACATGCCACACCGCATACAAAACAATGGCCCTATTGAGAGGCGAGTTCGGTGAACAGTTTATCTCACGTTTGGGGCCCGTCAATTGGCCGCCTAGATCGTGTGATTTAACGCCGTTGGTCTATTTCTTGTGGGGCCA